AAACCGATTCTCTTTTCTCAACTTTATTATTAGGCTGGTAAGTTACCACTTTGCTCCTAGTATGCAGTCAAAAAGCTTTGTTTTTGATGTTTTGTAGAAGCAAAATATGGGAAGTTTCAAGTCTAGCACCCCTAGTGGCTAAAAGTTACACGGTGTGCGTTTAAAGCTGTGCTGTATACGTGTTCAGTCCACCTCAGTCATTGCTTCATCTACGTTTTGATGATTTCTCTACCAGCTAATAGAGATGTAGCCTCGTGAGACCATCCTGATCTCACAAGCTTTCAAGATTTCACTCGCTAATCAGTCTGGAGACTCCGTTGACGAAAATTTGGAGCCGTTCACCAAACGAACGTCCAATCAGCATTGGCTTTGAGGCGGGTTGAGGTGTGACGCAACGAGAAGCGCGACAGTTCAGTCTAAAGAACATGGCGGCTTCAGCCGATGAAACTAGCATTAGCGGGGCTATCGAGCAAGTTTTATTGGAATTACAGAGTATTTCTTCACTGAAAGAAAAGCAAAACACTGCTCTGGAGGCTTTTCTCAGAGTAAAAGATGTTTTTGCTCTTCCCCGACTGGTTTCGGCAAGAGTTTGATCTATCAATTGGCTCCTCTTCGTCGTCACTCTGTTACGTCATATGCTTCGTTGATCTGATTGGTTTATTTGGCCCGTCTATCACCAACATAGGCCAATCAGCTAACCTGTATTTTTGCCCCTTCCCAAAGTTACTTCTACGGAAGGTTTCCAGATGGATATGCGGAGCTAATCCATCTGGCGGAGTCAGGTTAATAGAGATGTAGATAATAGTCCAAATGTTTACAATATGCTTAAACTCTTATTTAATACGCAAAATCCCCTCTCAATTCAATTTAGCTACACATTATCATCTAGATTTAGGTCTGATTTTGACTGGGCCATTCTAACTCATCACTATGCTTAAATATAAAGAACGGAAAGTTCCACTTCAGTCTTTCTGAAGCTGTGATGTATTTAACTTTACCAAACTTTCTATGAACTACGACATGCTTCCCTGCCCCTTCTGCACAGCATGACACTGCCACCACCACATTATGTGGTTGGTGTTAGGATGATGTTCAGTGTTGTTTTTTCGTTTTTCCGCCACTGTCATTGCCGACTAGAAAGCTTCTATCATGAGTATCTGTGTCTCTTACAGGGCTTGTCGCCGACCATAAATAAAAAGCCCGAAAATAGAAAATAGGCTTGTTAAAAACAAAATCTTTGTCAATAGAACCTCCCTCCTGAGCTGTAGATCTCTGCAGCTCCTCCAGAGTAACCCTCTTGGTTGCTTTTTATAACAGTACTAGTCAGTTAATTTGATGCCCATGTTTTTAATGATGGATCAATTATTGACCCAGATGTTCTCCAACAAAACTCTGAGGCCTTCGCAGAACAGTTGATAGAAAATTACACTACTGTGGATGAAGATTATGTATTTGGAGACTTTTGAGGGTGATTGGTTGCATCTAATTTTATTTTAGGGTATCAGAGTAAAGGCTTCTTAAAACCAATTCACACCTCACACATTTGCTTTTATTTTTGAGAATGTTTTGTCTAGGGCTGCAACTAACGATTATTTTAAAAATCGATGAATCGGACGATTATTTTTTCGATTAATCGATGAATCGGACAAAAAATATTTTTTATATTAACCTCTTTATTCCAAAATAAACATTTTAGACAGAACAAACAAGCACACAAGTACAGGTTGCTCATTAACTGTACTGGTGCAATATGAAAAATAAATGTTTGTGTTAAAACTACGCAAACTTACATGAGAAATGTAGCTGTACATCCACAAAATATAGGGTACTTTGTTTCATAAAGCGCAAAAAAAGACATTTTTGTTTTTAAAAGCCTCTAAGGGGTTCAAACAATAGGCCCCCCATTTCAACAAATGAGTTTTTTTTAGACTAGAAGAGTTCTGCCTTTTAAGACAGGAAAGTACAGCAGTTAAAGTTGCTACTTGAGAAAATACTGAACCATAGAGATAAAAATAGCCCTGTGATTCAAATTATAAATTGTATTTGGAATAAAAATGAGAGAACTAGGGGTGCTAAAAAACACATCCTCCAAAGACAGATATTTACATGGGAATGTGGCATATAATTAATTGACATATTACTGATCTTGCTGGATTTTATTCTGCTTTACTTCTATAAATTGCAGGATCATCTTTACTTTATCTTTGCCAGAAGATTTAAACTTTAAAAGTCTTGCCCTCATAATTTGCAAGTTAATTTATTTATAAAGTAAATATAAACGCTGCTTAAGCTAATTCAAATGAAATTAAAAGTAAAATAAGTAGCCAACCTTATCACTGTCTGTAACCTACTAACACGGTAAGGAAAGCATCAGATGAGCTACCTGAGAAACTAACGTTACGTTTCCCCTCTTTAAAACCAAACAAACATGGTGGTTCCGTGCCATGTTAATTTCTTTTGAAAAAAGTTGCATGTTATCACTTTTTTCGCTTTACAAAGCGCAGGCTATTTTAATTATTGTGATCAATTTGCGCCGTCAATCCCGGTGCATGCGCGCTTCATTTGCAGTCTGGACGCTGAGGCTCTGACTGAGAGGGACTCCTGCGGGAAAACGCGGTTGGGGTGGGGGAGGCGCCCCACGGCAGAGTAGGAACATGCATGCTTTCACGTAAGAGTCTCCAAAAGCCGCCAGTGACACCGAAAAAAGTCGCCAGATTTGTCGCTAGTCGCTTTTTTGAAAAATAGTCGCTGGAGGGGTCTGAAAAGTCGCGGAGTTGGCAACACTGCACCTGCGGCGCTGACTCGCTCTGCCGTATTTTTTTTTCTTCCTCTTTCAGTCAAGAGGCAGTGATGACGGCGCGGCGGATGACGCAATAATCGCGCGACACAACTAATCGATGATGAAATTCGTTGCCAACGCTTTTAAAAGTCGATTTTTATCGATTTTATTGATTCGTTGTTGCAGCCCTAGTTTTGTCACTTTCCTCTCAGGCTGCAGTCATTCTCTACTGTATATTGGCCTTTGCCTTGAAATCTTTCTAGAATATATTGAGAAGTAGGCAGTATGCTGAGCTGCACAGCAGCTACACTCAAAACGCTACAAGCACTGTGTTTCTCCAGTCTACAGTAGCATAAAAACAGAATTTCTATGTTTTAGCTTAATTTAAAAAGATAGAAAGAGATAAAAGACTTTCTTCTGCTGTCATCTGTCACCTTTTTTAATAGGCTAATCACTGAGAGGCTGTCCACAGATGAAGCCATTACACAAAGTGTTTTCTAAGGAACTAAGATCCACCTTAGCTGTGTGTAGTGTAAGAGCTCAGTCATTTATAGTTAGTAGAAATTCCTGCGGTGACAGCCTGCCTGTAAAGACATGTGCAGCAAGCTGATAAGAAAATTGGAGCCAACGTCTGAGTTGCTTTACTGCAGACTGGTGACAAAAGGCCAAAGGTGAACCCCAATAGGCTTCTGGTGCATAGAGGGCAGGTTGGGCACCAGAAATAAGTGCACTCATCTATACTGTTAAAATTCAATTTGGGTTCTTTTTCTTTCCAGCTTTGTGCTGTTGTTCTACTCATCCTTTATAAGATTATTTTATAAGCCTTTATAAGTTTTTAAATGATCAGTATCAATAAAACGGCAAAGAGTCGGGCGTGCTTCTGTGCTGCAGTTGTTGGTGCGCACGATGGAGGCCTTAGTCCTCAATGCGGCTGACCCGGGTTTGTATCCGACCTGTGGTCCTTTGCCGCATGTCTCTCCCTCTCTCTCATACCCTCTTTCCTGTCAGCCTACTGTCGAAAAAACGAGCCACTAGTGCCCTAAAAACTCCAAAAAAACTAAAATAATTATAATAATTTTTATTTTTAAAACCACCAACAATAGCAACAGAGCCTGTTGATAGTTTATTGTTGGGATAGACCAATCCATTGGTCAATATTAGCATTTCTATTTTCTTGTATCACGTTTTTCTCACAAAACCAAACATTCTTTTAATTTTGAATTCTGAAATTCTGCAGGACTTTGTGAAAACCCATTTTGTATCAGTAACTTAGATTTGCATTGCTGAAAGTAGCCAAACTGCAACAAAGACTACTCGGACTCTTATTGCTGTAATCAGCTAAATACAGGAGTTTGACTCCTGGAATCGTTTCAGTTTTTATTTGTTTTGTTTGTTTTGTTTTTTTGCAAATTTAAGTGTTTGTTCAGATTTGCGTTCATATGTTGGTCTGCAGTGACTCTTCCACTGCACTAATTAAAGCATGCTGGTCGGATCACGTTCTCAATTTGTGTGTAAATACTGTGTATACTTTTACTCTACTGTAAAGAAATATCTCCTACCAGATCTTGCACATTAAAACAGAATATGAGGTTTTCTCTAAGTGCTGTGGCTTTTACTATGGTTACTTTGTATTTAGTTTTTGTTTTGTGAGGTTCTAAGACCCGTCCCTGGTGTGCCCTACACCTCCACTGCAACACTTTTGACACGGGGGGGAAAACCCTTAATATTTGAACTTTAAAAACATTATATCCCAACTGAGATAAAGTAAGTCTCTATATCCATTTAATCCAATAAGGGGTTCAAGGCTTTTGTATCTATTAAGCAAAATTGAACACTGAAGACAAGGATAAGCCTTTTATTACATTAACTTTTATCTTCTTTGACTAGACTGGTATTTGCCTCTAGCAGTCAGTAAGATTTTTATGTGGATTGCAAAAACCTTAACTTGTACAGGCCCGTGTTTCTTGGATACAGTGCATTTGGCTGCACTCTGTGTAGAAAATAGCTTTTTCTTCTGCAATAAGATCCAGTTTGGAAAGGTAATAAAAGATGCATGAATAAATTGGAGTGAGTTGACAAGCTGTAGCTTGCTTTTCTATAAACTTTAGATTTTATCCCACATTTAGCCGATTTAAAGAGTATTATATACTGTGTCGTCAGTCAGTTGTATATTTGGTTTATACCTTTAATTTAGATCAATCTCTTTTTTTCCTCCTCGTAGTACATCAAGATCCCAGCTCCAACACCAGAGTTACCTTCAGCTCTGCGAATCTTCTCCTTCTACTTATCCAGTGACAGCAAAGACCAACCACAAGCCAGCTTCGACTGCGTCCATCAGTACATCTCAAGGTATGACAAAGGTCACAAGCCGTTATTTTTATTTTTACTGTCCTATACTGATTTTTAGTTTCTTTCAAGGTCCAGACTGCAGTTTCCAATCTCTATTGTTTTGTTGCTTTTTTCCCTCAGTACAATGCATAGATAGCAAAAAGAAAAAGAGATTCATGTAATTTTAACAATGCAGCAAGGAATTGAGGAACAAGATTTCATTTTTCAAAACGTTTGTTCTATACTTCGATTTATTACCAATAAAGTGCATCCTGGTGGTTAATGTGTTACTAAACAAAAAAATCTTTGTGTGTTGATGCATTTAATGAGCAAAGAAAAAAAGATTTCTCTCAGTATCCGACTAGTCGATCATAGATCAGAGCTAAACTAGTTTCTTATCTTCGGCTGTTTGATTGATGCATCTGTGATTTTCATTTCTTGTAAAAATGCAAATCAGCATAGACCTGTTTTCCCCACTGGGATATATTTGCAAATTAATCAATCTCATGGTTGTGATCTTGGGTGGAAACTGTTCACAGCTCATCAATTGCTCCATTTTTAAGATACTCTACTCCTTTTTTCTTTTTTTTTCTCTCTGTGCGTTTAAATCACATGAGAGGCCAAATTATTTATATTTGTTCTAGATGGATCCTTTTATTTCTCAAACTTTGGTAACATTTTTATCTGGAAGGCAGATTGTGGTATGATAATCATAATTAAAACGACCACATTTAGCACATTAAACTTGATCTCACTGCCTTTATTTAAAAAGTAACCGCTGATCCTTGATTGATTAAGTCCTTTTTGAAGCATTTGGCAGTTCTGTTAATTTTCTACCAGCTCTCAGAATAATAAAGAAGGATCAGTGCTCCTTTTGTTTTCACGACATGACCTCTAAGGGGTTATATCTGAAATTATTCCCATGCAGCAAATTTAATCGTGTTGAAAGCAATGTAAAAGTAGAAGAACAAACTTCATCCTACTGACAGGCAGTGCGTAGCTAGAAGACTGGGAGGGGATCAGCTCCATAGAGTCAGAAAACTCTGGTCACTTCTGTACTTTTTTTGGCTTCTCCTTGAATTGACTTTAACAGTTTGTTGCGGCTGTTTAAAAAAAAAAAACTGAAAGAAAGACATGCAGCCTCACTGTTTTCCTAACTTGGTTATCTTTGTGAGTCTCTGCTCCCTGACATGCACAAAAAAACACAAATCCCACCAAATAACATTTTAGATTAACCAGTTAACCTAACCTGGATATTTTTGGATGGTGCAAAGGGAGCCAGAGAGACCATAAAGAATCCGCTTTAGGAACGTCCCATTCCTGATTCAAACCCTCCTGCAGTGAGACAGGAAACTTTGATACTGTCGTACATTTTCTTTCCAGCTCTCGCCTTCAGGGGTTCATTTAGCAAACTCTTACCTCTGTCTAAGATGATCCCTGTTGTGCAAGTTTTGCTGTCTGAGCCAAAGTAATCCCAGTGGTTTTCCATCGGCTCTGCGCTGTCTTCAACCTGTCTAAATAAAGCCTGTGACATAACATACAGTTGTAGATTTGTCCAAGAGAAAGTCTTGCACGGAGCCATAAACACCAGGATTAAACTTTGCCTTTTTCTTTGTTTGGCAGCGACGGCCGCGAGCAGCTGGAGGGCCAGGGCAGCATCCAGGACAAGATCACCGTGTGCGCTACGGATGACTCCTACCAGATGACCCGAGAGAGGATGTCTCAGATGGAAAAGGACAGCTGGAGCCGCTCAGCCATCGAGATCAAACCTGGAGCCTCACATCCTAGTAAGATTAGACCAAAGAAAATGCACATGCACAACCCCGTACCCGATCCTGAGAGCATTTCTCCTTGTGCAAGCTCTGTTTAAAAGCTGCCCTTTGCATCGCTCATACAAGCTTACTTTCAGAAAGATTTGCAATTTTTCCACTATGTCAGACTCACCACCGGTAAGTAAAAATGGGGACAAGCATGTTGGAAGGCCTTACATAAACATATCACCAGAATGATTGACAGTTAGGAGGACGACTTATTTAGATGATCCACCCAGAAAAAGAAGATTATCCACTATACCTTTAAAGGAAAAGGCCGGTCAGCAAGGAATAATCAGTGGATCATTATTTATACCTAAAACTAATACGTTTGCAGTGATTTAATGAATTTAGCGTTAATCAGTAAAAAAAATATCTTTCGTCATGATCAGAGTCTGGGAGCGGCCATTTTTGCCCAAATATATCCAACCCAATCCAATCGACTTTATTTATATAGCACGAATTCAATAAACACAAGGTTTCCAAAGTGCTGCACAAAAAGATAAAATAAATAAAATAAAAGTAAATAAAATAAAAGCACTGCCCACACAGGATACAAAATATGCATGTGTATACATAAAATCTAAATCAAATATACTCCTGCCATCTTCCGGCAGTGACGTCACGGTGCGGTAAGCCTAGCGCCATTCTCCCCGCTTTACAAGCAAAATCAGTGGGAACTACTAGACACATCTGCAATCAACAACAATTATTGAAGATTTCCAGAGGACTTCACCATTGAAATTGACCAGACCTATAGTTGAACTGACAATGCCCACGTGCATGGCAGTTGGATGTTGGAATACATCGAGTAAAAGGTGGAAAAAAAAGAGTTATATCACCTTTCCGATTCCCGATCCTCCCTGGACGGGTTTGTCGTTGGATTGCCAACTTTAAGAGGGAGGATTTGCTATCAAACTTCTAGCCAGAGGAAAAAACACATCATATGTAGCCAACATTTGGAAGAAGAATGTTCTCAAGATGACTTGGATAATAGCGCGTTGTGACAAACACTAGATACAGCACTGGGACTTGATCAACAGCCAATACCGCACCGTGACGTCACAAACCAGTAGGTGGCAGTAGTGTTCATTGACAAAGATGGATGCCTCCAGTAAAGCACATTCAAATGAACGTTACCGTTACGGTAATTAAAACAGTATGTAATAATTTTATATTTAAAGTACTTTCAGAAGTTTGTATTCTGAATATGACCGGACTTCTACTTTAAAATGGGGAGAGAAGAGAAGGGCTGTGGATGCAACAGTTCAACATGAAATCAGAAAGGGAAAATGAACAGCACCAGTAAAAGCCTTTGGAATATTTGTGTAAGTTGAGCTACACTGCTCTGATCATTGCTTGAAGCTGAAAACCAGACATTTTCCCCTTGTGATGAGTAACGAAACCAGATGTGCAGGCTGGCCAGTCACTGGTGAAAGTCTTCTCTTTGATGTTTTTGTTGGACTCTGCTTTTCAGCCTCAGAGTGTCTATTTTATTCACAGATGGGTTTTGAATGCATTTGTCTGATTATCTGGTGGGTGTGTTCAGTACCACTTATCTCTGCTGAGAGCAGGCCATGGGGCACCAAGATATAGCTTAAAAAAACTAATTAATGCATATCTCCAAAATATACATACTGTTCTTACAGCAATGATAAATACATTTATGGCGAACTAGGAAATAGATGCACTTTATTGCAGCTCTTTAATCATAATAAATAGATAAAAATAAACTGGACAGCTTCCTTGCTACATTGTTTGCCTTAACTCCAGCCTTTTGCTGTGCTTTTGCAATCATTTTTCTTGGCCCATTTCTGGACCCCTATGTGGAGGCTGGAGCTCCAGGGGAGCTGAACCTCCAGCTGATATGGACCAAATTTAGACTCTAAATTGTGTAACATGAGCTTTTAAGCTCAAGCAAGTGTAAGTGTATGGCTAAAGTCATTCCGTAAAAATTCAAAAAATATCCACTGGACTTGGTTTTCAAGATTTGAAGAGGTTTCGCCACCTCTCCAGGAAGCTTTCTCAATTCAAATGTCTGGATCCGCAGTGAGTTTGAGTCACATATAGACAACGCCTTGTATCGCTTGGAAACATGCAATAGAAACCGATGAATGGGTCGTTAGTTCCATCGTTAGCCTGTAATATCTGAAACTGTCTATGATTCTAGGGGTCGTCGTTAAAGGGGGGATTGTCATTAAGGGGGGGATTGTCTCCTGTAATACCTGAAACCTGTCTATGATGTTACTTCACTTTTCACATGCATACCTATAACAGAGGCAGTGGAAACAGTCAGGACACGTCTTGAACAAGATAGTGATTTAAACAACAGGACTAATTTCACTCCGGACCAGATCTGCACACTACTGGGCCTTTGTCTTTCCACAACCTATTTCAAATTCAGAGGTAATTTTTACAGACAGAAACATGGCTGCGCAATGGGATCTCCAGTGTCACCAATTGTAGCAAATCTTTACATGGAAGAAATGGAAAAGAGAGCTTTAGACACTTTCAATGGAATACCACCAAGCCACTGGTTTAGATACGTGGATGACACTTTCGTCAAAATCCAGCTAGAGGAAGTGGAAGCTTTCACCAAACACATCAACGCTGTTGACCGCAACATCAAATTCACCAGAGAGGATGCCAAGGACAACAAACTACCCTTTCTGGACTGCCTGGTGAGCATGGAAGGAGATGGAAGCCTAAACATTGAAGTTTATAGGAAACCTACTCACACAGACCAGTATCTTCTTTTTGACTCACACCACCCACTGGAACACAAACTCTCAGTCATCAGAACCTTACAACACCGGGCAGAACATGTCCCCACTAAAACAGATGGGAAGCAAAAAGAACAGAAACACATCAAAGATGCTCTCCGAAACTGTGGATATCCAAACTGGGCTTTTATCAAATCAGCAAGGAAATCCAAAAGACACGCAACAGAAGACAGCGATGGGGAAATTAAACGCAAAAACATCACAATCCCTTATGTTGCTGGAGTGTCTGAAAAGCTCAAGAGGATTTTCTCCAAACACAAGATCCCAGTACATTTCAAGCCAAACCAAACCCTTAAACAGAGGCTAGTGCATCCTAAAGATAAAACCCCCAGACCGAATATGAGCGGAGTGGTATATGCTGTTCAGTGCAGTGAGGAATGCTCTGATCTTTATATTGGAGAAACCAAACAACCTCTCCACAGACGCATGGCCCAACACATAAGAGCGGCCACCTCTGGACAAGACTCCGCAGTACACCTACACCTTGTGGACAAAGGACATTCTTTTGAGGACCAGAATGTCCACATTCTGGATAAAGAAAATAGGTGGTTTGAGAGGGGCGTGAAGGAAGCCATCTATGTTAAGAGAGAAAAACCAACTTTAAACAGAGGTGGTGGACTCAGATTCCAGCTTCCAAAAACATACAATTCAATCATAGACATGATCCCTTCCAGATATCACCAAACCCCCCACGACAGGTTTCAGGTATTACAGGAGACAATCCCCCCCTTAATGACAATCCCCCCTTTAACGACCGACCCCTAGAATCATAGACAGTTTCAGATATTACAGGCTAACGATGGAACTAACGACCCATTCATCGGTTTCTATTGCATGTTTCCAAGCGATACAAGGCGTTGTCTATATGAGACTCAAACTCACTGCGGATCCAGACATTTGAATTGAGAAAGCTTCCTGGAGAGGTGGCGAAACGTCTTCAAATCTTGAAAACCAAGTCCAGTGGATATTTTTGAATTTTTACGGAATGACTATGACCTGGATGACTGAGAACCTTCATCAGCATGTATGGCTAAAGGGATCACTTCAAACTACTCTCTGAGCTCTACTTTGAATCCCAGCACATTTTCCCATCTGCAGAACTCATAAAACACCAAATCTGCATCCTCATCAAGTACCCTACATTGTTTGTTTAACCTTTGAGCATCTGCACATGCTGTTATCATAAGATTACCATTTCTTCATGTATTGGGATTTTACCTGATACAGCAACAGAAAACAGAAGTGGAAAGAAATTTTATTTTTCATTCAATTTGCTTCATTTTTGTTTTAAAAAAAACATAAACAACTAAACATAAAAACAAGGATTCGTAATTCCTGAATGAAAGGTAGCAGAAAGTTGAAGAATCTTATCCGGACCCTTTACCTAAAAGCAAAACATAAATAATGAACTAAATGCAAAAAAAACCCCAATACAATTAGAATTAAAATAGCTATACATGACGGAAGAAAAAAAATAATGAAATTAAATATATACGGCATCTAAAACTCGCATTTTACTTGAAGTTTATTTTCTTAGTAAAATGGGGTTGAGACCAGAAAATAAAAAATAAAACATGTTTTCAGCTTTCTTTAATCTTGGTCACCTAAATACAATTTAATGCATGATAGCTCACCTAATTATTAAGTAGTCCAGTTTTTAATCATTTTATATTAGTGGAAAAGCAGCAGTTCTGGGTTCTCTAGGTTGATTATAGAACACGAGCGAATGAAGAGCTTTGACTGATCCAGGGAGAAGGTTTGTCCACCTTTAGAGGAACAGATATAGGCTTGTGGTAACTGCAGAAATCTTCTGCTTAGGTGGAGGAATCTCCTGAGTTGTAGACTTAAATCAGACAAATAACAAAATGTGACAGCTAAATTATTTTTGAAATTAAGCCATTACATTTTTTTTTTTTTTTTTTTTACACAAGGCATATAGACGACATGGGAAACAGGTGGAGGTGATCTGGTCAGGTGATGATATTGTCCATTACCCTGAACAAAAGACCTCCCCTGTTAAACATGGTGGTGGCATAATCATGATGTGGGGATATGAGAGAAGATGGATGGATAAAATAATAGAGTAAATCTGGAAGATAAGCGAGTTAAGGAAACATAAAACTGGTAAAATAAATTCAGTCCACATATAGAGAAACACCAACTCTAAGATACCAGCAGAACTGCAAGAGGCTTTAAATCAGGGATGCCCATCCCAGTCCTCGAGAGCTACCATCATGTAAAATTTTAGAGGCATTTCTTCTCCAAACATCCGAATCAAATTAGTGGCACGTTATCAGTCCTAAGCTGAGCTGAATCAAACGCTAAGGGAAGTCGTCTGTTACCGTACATTCAGACCCGACGCAATCGAAGCAAAAAAAAGCTTCTGCTGCTTCATATATGTTGCTTGTACACATTAAGGTCAGAGCCGCCTCAGGAGCATCTTTAAAGTTCCTGAAGTGCCTCCAGTTAACTGTCTCCAGATGCGTCTGATGCTTCTGCTGCTCCTGTGTTCAATGGCAGAAAGCGGCTTTGCTCTATTTGCTGTGATCAGTGGGTAAAAAGTAGTTTTAATATATTTTTAAGTGAGAAAGTCCAGCTGAAAACATCATCTGTGCAGTCAGTTCATCAAGATTATGATCCTGCCTTCAAATATTATTTCGCTGTGGGACCAGCACAAAACCCCCATACACCAGCGGTGCTCTGGCACTGGAAAACCCCTTCATTTGCCTCTGGCCAAGTCGCCTTTGAGTTTTTCGCTATGTACGTAATCAATAAACTGTTTCAGAGGAGTGATCGTAGTGATCTGCATCAGCATTGCTGTGTCTGTCTCCCTGCCGGCTCCAAGATCAGCTTCTCTGATTGGTTGATGTGGCGCGTCGAGCAGCAAACAGTTACATTTTTCCTCATGAGGCGCTGCTCCTGCTGCTTGAAACGCGCTGCAGGACATTTTGCTGCACCTTATCAACCATTAGATGTAAACCAGCTGCTTCTGCAGCGTGCGGCCTGAAGGTAGCATTAGATCCTGGTGTTTTGGGGAAGAGATGCATCTAAAAGTTGCTTGATGGTAGCTCTTAAAAGGCTACCATCATGGACTAGGGTACTCCTGCTTTAGATCAATTAGAATATGTGGCAGGAGATGTGTACTTCCAGGGATACTCACTATCTTTTTCTATTCAAAGAAGAATTTGACAAGCATTAACCTTTGATTTTATGCAAAGCCAAAGTAGGCATATTCCACACCTGCTGCTGTGACTACATGGAAAGGTTTCTAAAGTCAATACAAGCGAAGGAAGTTGTTTGTGAAACCATACCCAGAGGTTACAAGCCCTAGTCCTGTTTTTATATATATATACAGTGGGGCAAAAAAGTATTTAGTCAGCCACCAATAGTGCAAGTTCTCCCAGTTAAAAAGATGAGAGAGGCCGGTAATTTTCATCATAGATATACCTCAACTATGACAAAATGAGAAAAAAAAATCCAGAAAATCACATTGTCTGATTTTTAAAGAATTTATTTGCAAAATATGGTGGAAAATAAGTATTTTGTCAATAACAAAAGTTCATCTCAATACTTTGTTATATACCCTTTGTTGGCAATGACAGAGATCAAACGTTTTCTGTAAGTCTTCACAAGGTTTTTACACACTGTTGCTGGTATTTTGGCCCATTCCTCCATGCAGATATCCTCTAGAGCAGTGATGTTCTGGGGCTGTCGCTGGGCAACACGGACTTTCAACTCCCTCCAAAGATTTTCTATAGGGTTGAGATCTGGAGACTGGCTAGGCAACTCCAGGACCTTGAAATGCTTCTTACGAAGCCACTCCTTCGTTACCCGGGCGGTGTGTTTGGGATCATTGTCATGCTGAAAGACCCAGCCACGTTTCATCTTCAATACATACGCTGATGGAAGGAGGTTTTCACTCAAAATTTTACGATACATGGCCCCATTCATTCTTTCCTTCGCACGGATCAGTCGTCCTGGTCCCTTAGCAGAAAAACAGCCCCAAAGCATGATGTTTCCACCCCCATGCTTCACTGTAGGTATGGTGTTCTTTGGATGCAACTCAGCATTCTCTCTCCTCCAAACACGACGAGTAGAGTTTTTACCAAAAAGTTATATTTTGGTTTCATCTGACCATATGATATTCTCCCAGTCATCGTCTGGATCATCCAAATGCTCTCTAGCAAACTTGAGACGGGCCTTGACATGTACTGGCTTAAGCAGGGGGACACGTCTGGCACTGCAGGATTTGAGTCCCTGGCGGCGTAGTGCGTTACTGATGGTAGCCTTTGTTACTTTGGTCCCAGCTCTCTGCAGGTCATTCACTAGGTCCCCCCGTGTGGTTCTGGGATTTTTACTCACCGTTCTTGTGATCATTTTGACCCCACGGGGTGAGATCTTGCGTGGAGCCCCAGATCGAGGAAGATTATCAGTGGTCTTGTATGTTTTCCATTTTCTAATAATTGATCCCACAGTTGATTTCTTCACACCAAGCTGTTTACCTATTGCAGATTCAGACTTCCCAGCCTGGTGCAGGTCTATAATTTTGTTTTGGGTGTCCTTTGACAGCTCTCTAGTTTTGGCCATGGTGGAGTTTAGAGTGTGACTGTTTGAGGTTGTGGACAGGTGTCTTTTATACTGATAATGGGTTCAAACAGGTGCCATTAATGAAGGTAACGAGTAGAGGACAGAGGAGCCTCTTACAGAAGAAGTTACAGGTCTGTGAGAGCCAGGAATCTTGCTTGTTTGTAACTGACCAAATACTTATTTTCCACCATATTTTGCAAATAAATTCTTTAAAAATCAGACAATGTGATTTTCTGGATTTTTTTTTCTCATTTTGTCTCTCATAGTTGAGGTATATCTATGATGAAAATTACCGGCCTCTCTCATCTTTTTGAGTGGGAGAACTTGCACTATTGGTGGCTGACTAAATACTTTTTTGCCCCACTGTATATATATATACTGTATATAACTCACTCCAAAATATGAGGCAGAAAAGTTTGGAAACATAATAACATGCAAAGTGTAATCAATATTCGTAAGCCGGCATTCAGTGGTTGAACAGAAACCTCTCTTTTCCTCAGCCTCCCCCCCGCTCTGACCTTTAAAGCTCAGATTAACCCACAGCAGGATTAGCAAAGAGAGAAGATAGCCTTCACGGCTCAAACGTTCTCAGTCTACTTGATGAAGTAAGGCAAGGAAAAATCTATTATATGTTTACGTCGTTAGAAAAAAAAAACCCCACCAAACATTTAATTGTATCTACGTTGATGTGTCCATTATCTTATCTCTATAGTCTCTATGTATAGAAATCGTAACACTTTCATAACTCCGTTTCACCATAAATGGTTTTTTCATAAAAATGTTTTCTCATTATCTGTTTGTTCAGGTAAAAGTTTCAAGTTCCAAAAGAAACCCGCTCCCCCAGCTGCTCCTGACAGTAGCTTCTACAAGCAGTCAGCCAACAGTCGGAGGAACAGCAGCATACCTGCCGCCATCCAGAAGCCCCTGAAGGAACGCATCATCCACCTGCTGGCCCTTAAGCCTTACAGGAAGCCAGAGCTTCTCCTGTGGCTGGAAAGGGAGCGAGCCGGAGCAAAGGACAAGGCTGAGCTTGGTGCTGTGCTTGAGGAGGTAAAAACACATCCTGTGAAAACTATTAATACCCCTTGAACATTTTCACTGGACTTTTTAGGTAATAAAACAAAACTGGCATACACATACAATCCTGTTTCCCTATCCTTGTGAGGACTTTTATTGACTTTCATTCATTTCTAACCCATTTCTGCATCCTAACTGTGACCGTTACCCTAAACCAAACCATTACAAGTTCATGCCTAACTCTGATCAAAACTAGATACCTACTCTGTCCTAACCCTAAAAGAGCAATGGTACCCATGGGTACCAGACACTGGTCCCCACAAGGAGCAGTCGGTCCCTGCAATGTCCTTTTTTTCCAGAAATTGTGACCCACAATGTAGCAAATGCACACAAAGATACACTCTTTGTTTTTAACTGCAATCATAACTGTTAATGTCTACTTCTACAATCTTTGAGGACCTCAAGACAAGTTTTTCTAAAGTCATAGGGAATTCATATTTAAATGTCATATCATTCTGGCTTAAACATTTATATAAATGTACTCTTTATCAGACGATATTATTCCAAAAGTTAAAAATGTCTATTTAAAGAAACAACTCCTGTCTTAAAATGAGCAGGGTTTTTTTTTTCTTCGTTATCTTATGCAGGGCAGTTAGTTAGCTTGTACACCTAAATTCGGCCAATCATTAATCAACGGCCATCTGTCAATCAAATTTTTTCGGTCAAAGCATCTTGATTCATATGTCGCAGCTAATATAGGCAACAATTGAAATAAGAATCATTATTTCCTTTCCCATTGAGTTCCGTCCCAGTGTTCACGGGGATGGACGTCTGTGTCTTCAGCAGGCGTAGAGCTAACAGAACAGGCAGCTTTGCGAGGCAAGGGCTCAAACATGTAAGGCTGTAAGCCTTCTACACCAAACCAAGCTTCTGCCACCCTGGCGTCCTCTTCCACAACATCTTCGTCCCCGCTTTCATCCTCTAAATAAAAAATGTATGACGTAGGAGACTCATCCATGACCTCCGACACAAAACTGTCCTCCTCTTGCATGTTTCCTCTATCCATAGCGTTACTTGACAGTGTCGTTGCTAAGTGCGACTTGGTCCTGATGTAATTTCCCATGGGGAACAAACTAGCACTAAGTTTAGCAAGATGCTTCCGACAATCCGGCTACAACCAAACTTACCTTCTGCCTCAATAATCCAGCCCCCTTGATAAATGACCAATCATATTTACTTTATTCACTGGTGTAAAGTCGGGCACCACTCTGGAGAATTTGGAGATGCAACGTTTGGAACAACGACTGCGACTTTAACAAGTCCCCTTTAAAATGTTCACACACATTTCCATTTGAATTAGGTGTGGGACTTTGACTAGGACAATCTAATGCAAATCATTTCCTTTAAAACATTCCATTATGGCTCTTACTGTCCAGGATTGGGGTCAGTCCGATCCCGGAAGAGCCCCCGAACAAGTCCCCAAACCTCAATGGGGGATGTGCAGTGTTAATTTTCTGCAACACTTGTTTCCATTCTTCTAAATGTTTTCAACGTCACCTTATGACAAAATGCGTGAACCAAATTTTCTATTGTTACCTTTAGGTAACTGCTTTCTTCTTGCCACTTTCCTATGAAGTCCAAATTTATAGAATCTATAATGAATGTAGGAACGTTCTACCATCCTCCAGAGATAACAGGCCCTTTTGGTTGCTTCTCATTGGTCTCTTGATTGGCTATTGCTCTCCTAAACAAGCCTGTTAATATATGGACAACCATGTGTAGTGTTTGCATTTGTGCTATTGTTTTTTTTATTACCTCTGACTGTTTTTAAACTATATGTGTAGGTGCTGTAGGAAATACCCGATTTTATGTATATACACAATTTCAAATTTTTTTTTCATTGTTATCAAAGCAGGAAGACGCTGTTTTAATAAAGTTGGAGACAGTTCACTACAGCCACAAGCAGAGTTATTACATCCTTTTAATCACATTACAAGACATGGCAGAAAATTGATGAGAAACAGATGTGGGGAGGTAAAAAGAAAACAACTTTGACAGTACTCTCCTTACAGGAACCAGGCAGGAAAAACAACAGCATGTATCTTATACGAAACAAGATAACAGTTGTGAAGGAATCCTTCATACAAGATACAAGGCCACAGATTAGAAGCTGAAGGTTCTTACGGGTTCCTACAGGTTCTTCTGCTCATTAAAAGGAATATATGGTTATGTACAAAATATCCCAACACAATTTGTTGCCATTTTAAAGACCCGTGATCTCTTTCTTTCAAGTCCAGTAAAATCAAGTCCAGTATAAGAGTTTGTGGTTGGAAAATAATCATAAATACTCCTGCAAGGCACTGTAGACTTATGTGACGTCCATGTTGCTAAAGAAAGCCTTCATTGAGGCTTGTCTGTACACTTATCCATTGTAAATGTAGTTTTGGACCTGTCCCTAACATGGAAACATAAATCTACCTTCATATTAATCTGTATCTTGATGTGAAAATAGTTTCTTGGCACCAAAGACAGCCTAAACATGGTGTACAAACCTTTAAAAAATTGCCTCTAACAGCATTCATTTAAAGCAATTAGGAATATTTCACACTTTCCATTTGAAACGCCACACTGACAACCTTCCTGGATGCTAAAATGCGTGTAACCATGGCGCTGCAAATTATAAACCAGCATCACATCTAGCAGACCTCTTTGTGTTTGTGGTTAATGTAGGTCATGTGTAATTTTTTTTTTTTTTTTTTTTACCGATCACAACTGTTTGTGTGTTCTTCTCAGCCTATCAATATGTGCACTCAAGGGGGTGGTTGTATAGGTTGTTGTGTCTAATTAGGTCAGTGCTGTAATTGCCTCTTCAGAGATGCTGTTTGCTGTTGGGCTGTCCGCCGTGTCAGCAGGCATTACAATGATGGATGTCCTCAGAGAAAAGCGGCCCGATAGGATGAGGCTATCACTGACAGGGAAAGTGTTCGGCTCTCAGGTGGCAACAAAAGCTTAGGATTAGTTTAGCTTTTTAGCAGATAAAAAATATGATAAATTAGAAAATATAAATAGATTATGAATCCTCAGTTCCTATTCGGCCTACATGGAGACTGTTTTGAATTTTTTTTTTTAAGTTATGCCGAATATCTAAGGTTTTTCATGCCGATAAATTTAGTTTTATAAATATACATCTGAAAAGTAGGAGTTTATATTTGCATTTGGAGCCAAAGGCAAGAGGCTCCTCTAAAAACAAAACCTTTATAAAAAAAAATGGTGTACACTGCTTCTTCTTTTCTAAATATAAGACTTGAGTTGCTGAAGAATAAGGTCTCTCTTATATGAAATGTGCTTGTGTCACTAAATCTTGCCTAATTTCTCACACAGCTGCTGTTACGGACACTATAAGGCATTTAGTTATATCCTCCAACATGAATACAGGATGTTTTCGTTTGATCCACTTTGCTCCTTTCATGGACGGAGGCTTCCCTTGTTTTAGGTAGCTAAGGTGAACCCTAAAGACAGCAGCTACTTCCTGAAGGAGGATTTCTACAAACATGTGCAGAGGGACTGGCCAGGCTATAGCGAGGAGGAGAAGCAGCTGATCTGCAGGCTTCTATCCAGGTGAGTAAGGCGTAGGGGCCTCGTACAAGCATTTCTAGTCGGACAGGATGCTCCATATTTTTAACTAATGGAATATATGCTTAATATAACTGCATTTATGGTGAATATCACCATTTTCTGCAGAAGTTTACGTTAAACTCTCTGCAGTTCTGTTGCATGTGTAGTGTTGCATTTTTCCATGGAATGACTTAATTTACAGTCAATGTTATGACACAGAGACTTTCAGCCTTAAGGGCTGGTTATACTCCTGCAGCAGTGTGTCGCAGTTAAGCCTGGTTTATACTCAGAAACCAGGTAGTCTGCATGAGTGTCGCAGTGAATCCAAATGTGCCCCCGCCCCTTCCGCTGACACTCTGCTGCACCTCTCCATATTGTAGGTGACTGCAGACAGTGCCGCAGACAGGAGGCCTCTGATTGGTCAAATCTACATCTGCTCTACACTATGAGTATTTCCTTGGTACCTTGCCGGCTTGTTTTGTTTGTATGAACGCCATTGTAGAAAACGACTCATGAAGTTGGACCAGCTAGGAGAGTGAGGTGTTCTAGAACGCTGGGACCCTATTTCTACCTGGATCCCCGCTCTTTTTGGTCCCCATGTCCCGCCGTTTTCACACAAACTTGCTCCCACTCCCTCACTGCCTCGGCCTATCTAGACCAACAGCTAGTTCTTGATTGACCCTTTTGCGTTGAGGCGTGGAATAACATAGTACAGACCACACTTCAATACTGAGCATAAATCAAAAATATCTGCAACAAGCTCACTGTGACCCACTGCTATGGGAGGATAACCAGCCCTTTAGCTTGTCGCAGGTATGACAAACTAGGTTGCAGGTGCTTTGTTATTCCATGCCACAACACAAGAGGGACGGTCACAAAATAGTTACGATTGTGGGTGTCTGTGTGTCGGTTTGACGAGCTTGTTCCCTGTCTACATCACCTCATCCAATGCCGGACGAAGCACAGTTCTCCCGTGAGTGTTCCTGAAAGACTGGCCATGGCGCTGCGTGTTTTGGTGTGCAAACCAACAGATTGTCACACAGAGCTTCAAACTAGCATCTTGTACGGTGACTGGGATTGTGTCTGAGGTGTGCCAGGCGTTGTGGCTGGCACTACAGCTGGAGTTTCTGCCATTAGGCACCAAACAGGGAATACTCAGAGAGTGGAGTGGATGTAGAATTGACCAATCAGAGGCCTCCTTTCCCTCCTACCTGCGACACTAAAGGTGGCACTGTGTGCGGTCACCTCAGTTTTGGGGAGGGGGGCATATCTGCGTTAACTGTGACACACACGCAGATAACCTGGTTTCTGAGCATAAACCAGGCTTTACTATGAGTGTTGGACTGGTACTAACCGTCTCCTTCTCTCAGCTTCACTCATTTTTATGCTGCCTAATCATCACTACATCGTCCACAGCTGTCCCACAGTCTGATTCATACTCTTCTCTAAATCCATGACCCCTTTGGGTATTCCCCTTTCAGTTTGGCATTTGTTTGTGTTCCACAGACTCTGGGTTTATTTATCCCGTCTCTCACTGTGTGTTTAACAGGAAACTTCAGCCTCACATCAGCAATAAATCAAGAAACATTCAAGCACACTTGTCAATACCTGCAACCCCTGAGGATCCAAGTGCAGCGAAAAACCCAGCTGTGGTAAGTTAAGGTTTTCTAAATAACCTTAACTGCAAAAAAGATCTAGAAATAAGTCAACATGTCTAAAATCAAGTGTATTTACCCTTAATCTGAGTAGGTAAATAAGATGATTTGCCAATGAAACAAGTATTTGTACTCTTAAAAAAAGAGATATTATGGGATTGAAATAACACAATGCACTTGTTTTTTCTTATTTTAAATGTAAATTATCTTGTTGCATTTGCAAAGTGTCTTATCTCCTTAATTCAAGAAAAAATGCATTTATTTTAAGAACAAATTACTTAGTGTTAGTAGGATTTAGAAATGTATATTTATTAGAGAAGTGTAGGTTAGTAAACTACTAGTGGTTGGAATGCATTTCTCTTTATAAGTTTAAAGACAAAAAGACATGTTCATAAATAGCTGTTCTCCAGTCAGGCGTGGATTTGATCCCATTCTACCCAATAGTCGACACCTGAGACAGGAGCTGCCTTTACAGTAGGAATTAGTAATTACCATTTTGGCCAACCTTAAAGCGATTGCTCATTGCATGCGAAGGAACTGATTCATTGTTTAGGATTATTTTTTGGTTTCACACCTGTTTTCCAAATGCAAACTTCACAAAGGTCTTTTCATACCCTCCCCCTGGGATGTTTTCCTGCTCTTTCTGTCATCATTCTTTCTGCTGTCTTTTAAAAACATGACTTCACAAGGGTAACAGTCAGGAGCTATTACACAATAAAAGCATGCTTATAGAGCTACAGTAATACATTTAAAACTGGTATTTCACTGTTCTTCTTTTCTTTTCTAATTGTTTGAAGCCGAAATAAAACAATAAATTTGGTTATCTGCAGTCTAACATGAAGCTTTCATAACTTCTTATCTGCACCAACTAGAGATCAACCCATACAGTTTTTTTTTTAAGGCCATTCCATATACTGGTTATTTTTGACATCAGTCTTAGCGATCCCTAATTTTTGCTGTAGTGTCATTTTCTGCAAATTCTTAAAATTGAAATGCTTTTTCTTCCTCCGTTCCTGTGGTTTAAAATGACTCAACAGTAACAACTGTTACACATGTCTCAGTTTAAGGAAAAAAACAAATGTATGCACGTATTGACCAATACAAGAAAAGACACAATTGGCACAGAATATCAAAATATCATTCTACCTCTAGCACCAAGAGTATTCAATACTATGGAGGTTTAGAAACCTCTGCATCTTCCATTTAGCATCCTAAATTCATTTTCAAGTACAAATATAAATAATCTTTATATTTTCTGCAGATAATCTCCTTAAAATTCAACAAAGTTCAACAAAGCTACATTCTCGCATAAGAATATCCAACATGCCTCCATTTCCTATGACTCATACTGGGTCAAAAATTGGTTAAGCTCGTTGAGTAAAGCTCAGATGACAGTGGCAAAAAATGATTACAAATACATATAATACACTTTCTATGACCCAAACTAAACTTTAAGGATGTTTCTAGGCAAGGTTTCTGTTTTTTAAACTCAAATATGGGCTCTGTTGGCAGAGATTTTATTTGATTTAAAAAAATAAAATCCTGAATGTTTTCCTGATACCTAAAACATGATAGGTATATTCCCTTGAGGATGTACTATAATGTACAAATTAAATGTTTCAGTCATCATATTAATGGAAATGTCAGTTTTATCAACACTAATGTTTCCTTTCTTTGTTATTATGTGGGGAAAAACCTTTAAATACATTTTGTACTTAGGACTGAGGAATTTCTCTGTTGCCTTCTTGTTTCTTTTCAGAAACGTTCCGTTCCTTTGGACTCACGGGACAGACTGGCAGCAAAGAGACAAAAACTTTCTGACCAAAGGTCACAACCCCAGTCCAACATAAAGGGAATCGTGAACATTAAGGAAGCACATGATAACGCAGCTGTGACCTTTGACCCCAATCTCAACTCCAGTGCTGAATCCCAGAGGACCGGTGGCCTTACTGGTGACCAGCGTGGCCTAAAAAATGTAGCCCATTGTGACTTTCCTTTCGTGCATACCATGTCTGACGGACATATTTCTGAGAGCAAAGATCAGGACCCCAGAGTCAGCCGGCTCCAAGCACCGCAGGCTAACTCTGACGGCACTCAGCAGCAACAGAACAGCAGCCAGCTCAGAAAGAAGAAATCTAAAAAGCACAAAGATAAGGAGCGGGAAAGGTTAAAAGATGACAAAGCACCTGAATGGCTGCAGCCGAGCCCCGACCTTAAGCAGAATCCACATAAACAAGACAGTAAGACCCAGTTTCTTCTTCTTTTAAATAAACACATTGTCACTACCTGATCCGTCCCAGAAGCACGATCCGATCCGATCCGTACCTTCAGCTCATTTGCGCAACCAGATATACATCCGGGTCCCCCTCTATTTTATTTTCTAAAAAAGTCCTAAATTATGTTTTTCCCTCCCCAAAAAAAAGTAAGCTTACTAAACTATAATGTGTTAAAGGTTAATAATGTATTTCCTGAGAAAATAAAAAATGCATTAAAATCCTGTTTGATCACTCGTCTGCGGCAGATCTGTTCTGGAAACGGGATCCTACGCTACTTCCTGGAGCTAACTTGTTCAGCTAGGGATCTAAACATAAATCTAGTCTTTTTGAGTTCTATGTTTTCCTTCCCTGTTAACATTATGGTATATAGTGTGTAATCTAAAGAAAGAAACAACTAAAATGCAGGTATATATAGTTTAATCAGATTTTGCCAGACTGCGCAGAACATGACCCATGATGATGTCAGAGAAGCAATTTAACCAATAAAATGTAAAAAGCATCAAAATTGTCTGAGAAGAATCATGAAAAATTTTTTAAAGATGTGATTAATTGATTTTATTGATCCCACAGTTGAGAAATGTACTTGTTAAATCGGCTTAAATATTCAAAAAAAAGAAGGTGCCAAAGGAAGAAAAGGTGCCTGGGATATATACAGTTTTGGCATAGTATATTAGCATTCTTTAGTGAGTTAAGAATAGAAATGGTACCATAATTACTTTATTTATGGAAACCTGGATGTATATCTGGTTGATGGCACGGATCGTGCTTCTGCTACGGGTCGGGTAGTGATACACATTCACCCCATTCCTCCCATTTTGGGTCCTTCATGGCTTCCATGTGGCTTTTTTTGTTTTTTATTGTGTCTTACCATCACACCTGTTGCCTCACATTCTTTAGCCGATGTGTATCTGAATCTGAGCTGTTGTTTTTCACCTCTTGCCACAATTAAAATGTTACTTTAACCACTAGGCTAAAAAAAGAGATGACCGAAGATGGCTTCCTGTTGCTCAGAGTTTATCTAACAGCACCACATGCGGTGCATTTGTTCAGTATTATCTCTTGAGCTTGGCAGTGTTTGCTCCCATGAGCCAGCCCTCTTGAGTCCCTGCAGTCTTCTGTGGCTGAGTGACTCAAAAACAGCTCCACAGGTCCCCTGGCACCCGGTGAGCTGTTAAACTGTCTGAACCGAGGCGGGCGGCACAAACACCCTCATGCTCCTGCGGTTCTTAGGGAAACAAAAACACTAAGCTTAGCGTTCGGACAACAGCTGAGCCTCATGTCTGTGCGACTCTGGCTCAACTCCGCTTAATTTAATTTTCTTAATCTCATGTGTTTGCTTCAGATCCTGACATCACAAGTGCTGCGGCCTCTGAGGAGAAGCCGGATTACGTGCTGTGAGTTCAAACAGGATGCAAAGTAACGGATATGTGTGCTGCTTCCTCTTCTAAATGTTGTTTTTGATTAAATGAACTAGACAAAAAACAGATCTTATTAACGGAGGGTTTTTCTGCAAAGAGTCATCAGTCTTATTTTAGTTTCTTTCATTAGCTTTTTGGTGCCATCTTGTGGCAAACTAATATCCTGCAAAAGAAGAATCATCATGTCTTAGATTAGAAATAGACTTTAGAAAGCAAAAGAAAAACAAACTTTTGCTCAGCCCTTCATGCAGTTTTGCTGACATATTAGCACTTTTAACTAGCATGTTTCTTACAACCTCTGTGTTTATGTGTCCTTGTAGAGCTTACGGCCCCATCACGAGTTTGGAGCAAAGGCAGAGATATCAGGAGGATTTCTGTACAGAGTATGATGAGTACAAAGACCTTCACTCCCGGATCGCTGCCATAACTCACATGTTTGTTCAGCTGGGGTCCAAGATCAAGACTCTCTCTCCTGGCACCCAGGAATATAAGGTACGTACGTATCTACAGCTCTTCAGGAAACGGAGCATGCAGCTGGGAAGCAAACATGATTTTTTTTGCAATCTAAATAAATTACAATAACTTGGTAAACCATTCTTTTTCCTCTTTAGAAGATGGAAGACCAAATACTGGAAAAGTACAGCAAGTTTCGCAAGGTAAAGGCGGCTCTTTTATGAGACTCTTCTTGCTCTAATTCTGTAACCACTTTCTTCCCACCAACACATCAACATTTTACAGAAAGATAAATGTCTTGTTAATTCATTGACAAAATACAATAAAATCACTAGATATTTAGAAGAAAAGCTCAATCCGATAACTTTAGTTATTTTGGTCTGTCTACGCAACTTTCAGCGAGAAAATAAACACATTGATTTTACCGTCTTAAGATCAAGCTTTCATTATAAAGGTCCATCCTGACCAGTGTCGTTTGTTTCCCTGTTAAAACAGTTGTATGGTTTAGTTACAGTTTTTCTTTCGTAGAGTTTTATGCTGCATCAAACAGGTTACAGCAAATATATCGAATGCACAATTTTATAGGGGGTTTATACCACAAAATGTATGTTGCCTACGGGGATATTGCCTATCACGATAAATTTGCAGTACTTAGTGTTGTCCCAAACCACACTGAGAAATGGCATTTGCCTGACTAGACTATAGCTTTGCGAAAAAATAGGAAAGGAACAAGATTGGACTATTCCTAAAAAATGCTTCAGTCAACATGACCTATTTTCAGATTTTCTCACATTTGGTCCACAAACATCAGTAAAGAGTTGATGTGATGGAACAATTACTGCATGACTAGAGCGTGTATGGAAAAACTGAAAAGTGTGGTGTGCATTGTAATTCAACCTCTGTTCTTTTTCCAATTCATAAGACCAAAAATAAAAACGCTTGTCCTCAGAAGGTTACGGTTCTAGTACTGTATATAAATGTTTTTTTGTTTTTTTTTTCATTTAAAATGTGATCTCGCTGTGGCTGGGGCACTGAACTATATTTATTCACTTGACTGCTGATTGCCCGTTAGTAGTACGGGGTTGCAGTGAACCCACCGTCCACCATATTGGTAATCCCTAGTTAGACCGGTCACAATATGAACAATACGTGCGCTACAGCATTGAACAACGATGATCTCATTTTCAGGGGGACTTAAGACGTTTAAAATAAAGTTACATTCATCCCTTTGACACACACTGACTGTTTCATAGCGTAATTAGATTACTTTAAAATAGGCACATCACATTGCATAGTCATTATGAAGTAAATGAAGTCTCTAAATCATGTAATATAACATATTATACAAATCCATCACAATAACATTAATGTGTTAATGGAGCATTATAATACAGATGAGCCAAAAGTGCTTTGATGGCATATATACTGTACTATAGGATAGGTCGGCGTATAGGTAGATTTTCTTGGTTAGTTCGTCCACTGACTTTAAAATTGCAGCTGTCAGGAGGGAAAGAAATATGGAGTTACAGAGGGCAATATCAGAAGATGGCACGTTCAAACAGACCAGAAAAATGCCTACAGCTAAAGAAAAGCTTATAAAGAGTAAAAGCCTCATGCAGGTTTTGAAGTGTTGAAAGATTTCAATTAAACATGTCATTACTGTGCTTTTTATGTTTTATTGTTTAATTGCACAGCTGTTTCAATGCAATGTTATTTCAGTTAAAGTCTTAGCACTGCAATATAAAATAGCTTCTTTAAACAAAATAAGTTTGGTTTATCAGTCTGTTAATTTTTTGTTGATCTTTTTGTTTCGTTCCTAAAAAAAACTGGTGCTGGTGAGAGGTCGTGTTAAATCAGGGCTGTCCTATAATCGGGTCAGTACGGTAAATGGTCTACTTGAGTGTAAATTCACCTCAGGATAAATTCAGCAGGTAAAATCAGTCAATCATTAAGGTGAGATTAAAAGAAAAAAAACTTTTTGAACAAAACAACTAAATATTGCCTACACCCCTGTCCTCCCCCCATGATGGAACACGGTGGTGGCAGTATTATGTTACCAGGATGCTTTATATTCGTTTTTCGAATTTCTATTTCTCCAAGCTTACAATTATATGTTGATCCTAAAGGGTATTAGCTGAGTTAGGTGGCTGCTCTAGATGCAAGAACACCTGAAGGTGTTCCATGAATGTTAAGGATGGTTTGTGAATTAATCCGCTGTCTTCTCTCTCTCTCTGCAGAAGTTTCCAGGCTACAGGGAAGAAAAGAAGCGCTGCGAGTACCTTCATGAAAAACTGTCATACATCAAACAACTCATCGTCGACTTCGATCTCTCTAAGGCCTCCTCATAGCATTTGCTAAAAACTGTCAACTAGACATACCCAGCTTTGTGTTGAGGTATTTTTTACAGCGATATAAAGAGTTTTGAAAGAGGACTTCAGCTTTTTCCACCACTTTTACTAAAACACCAGCTGATTCTGTGACCTCTCATTAGTAACTGATTGTGTTGGAGTCTCTCTGAACAAAGGGGAAAATATATGGAAGGTATTTGGTCGGGATTTTTTTAAGTAGTTCTGATCTTAATGATTCTGAATCTTGCAAAATCATTCCTTTAACACTTGTACAGTTTTCTTTTTTTTATATATGCTTTTTGTACTTTTAAATATGTCTATTTGCAGTGTACATGAGTAGCAAATGCTTTCAGAAATTGCCTTGTCTAGGATTAATAGGAGAAGCAGAGAGAACCACATGGGAACAAAAACAAATCGGCTCCATTTGTCGTCTCCTTTTGAATGTTTTAGACATTATGGCCAATTGCAACCACAAACTTTGAGATATGGTATTGGGATTCCATGCAACAGTGGAATGATTTATTAAATGGAAGGTCAAAGGTGAATGGTTGTATAAGGTAAGAAAAATCATAAGCATTCCCGCAGCATGACGTCACCATCATCGAGTTTTAAAGTGGGGTTTAGCTGATGTTCAGTGTTAGTTCTTATTTTTCTTTGAAGTTAGAAATTTTCCTTTTCTTGCTACTTTTTCCAGATTTTGATTCCTTAGAGATTTGGGAAAAAACCTTTGCATCCTTTTTCATTTACCATAAAACACTAAATTATCTTTCCTTGTTCTGAACCCCAGAAAAATATATAGAAGTTTGGTGTTGCGATCTCAAAAAATGGGAAAAGTTTTAATCATTTTTAAAACTCTCATAGCTAAAAAAAAGAAAACGTTGCATTAGAGCATATATGGGCAAAACTACATACATCAGAGCCGGATTTATTTTTTTTTAGTTACATTACAGAGTCTATATATTGTTTTTTTTGTTGTTTTTTTTTAATCTTCATTATAAAGGGACCAGAAAAGGCTGAATCGATTCACTGTAGCCGACCTGTGTGTCGTCTCCTTTATGCTCTCATGTTTTAAGTATTTATTTACCACATTCCCTGTTTTTTGAGCGTCTGGTAAATGGACCAAAAGTTTTGAACTAGCACATCTGCTGAAGTATTTTAACCAATAGAAGAAGAAGAAAAAAAGACTTGTGTATAAGCATTTTGCATTGAACTACTGATGTATTTATTTTGAACCTATTTATCTCTGTCCTGTGACAATAGGTCATCTGAGCTTTTAAATCAAAGTGTTTGGAGCCATGCAGGCGGGGAAATCGTGTGGAAAAGATTGAAAAGTATCATATATTTTCATCCTTAGCTTATCTTGCTTTTAGTTGCCTTTAAAAAATCAGATTATGATTATATTTAAAAACCAAATCAATGCCTGAGATGTGCTTCTTCAACAGCATTGCGCATTGATTTAAAAAAAAAAAGGGTTAAAGTCAGCAGGGAGATGCTGATTCTGAATCAGGCAAGTATTTTGGACTGAAATAAGTCACAAGTGTGCAGTTTTTTATTTGTTTGTTTTTTAATGAATTTCATTTAGTAATAATAAAGCCTTAAGGTGAAACTTTGCTATGTCAAAGTTTTCAGACAGCTAATATGAAGAATAACATTCAGAAAGCGACATCATACACAGATGTATCCATCTGCCTTATTGGATAAGAAACACTATGTTAGGGTTTTATTGGGTACTAACAAAATGTTTAGTTCACATCTTGTCTGAACGTAAGGAACTAATATCTGTAGCTTTGATTTCCAATTGGTACTATCAAATAAAGCAAATGATCCTATGTTAAACTAAGACAATCTGGATGTTTCCTTTTTTTTTTTGTTTGCTGAACAATGTCTCATAGATGTGTTTTTATCGACACTCAGTTTTTAGTGTTTTTCTCGTTGTTTTTGGTGGTTCACTTTTTTTATTTTCCAATCTGGATATGTGGAACATTTTCAGAGATTAGTGTTTCCTGCATAAATGCTACAAGCAGAGTCTGGGGAATCAGCAGATAGACTGGGAATCCTTTTTGACTTTATTTATTTAAACCAGAACATGATAAAGGAGCTAACTCTTATGAGGTTTATTGTATCTTATTACCCAAAGTGTCAAGTAACAAAACTACAAATACTACATTACCTTAAGTAAAGATTTTGGCTCTATATACTTTTCAGGAGTAATAATTTTTTTTATGCAGCTTTTTATTCTACTCAAGTTTTTGTTTTTTTTCAATTATCACTACTTTCTACTCCTTACATTTCAAAAATAGACTCGTTAGTTTGGTTTCATTTAACCACATTTTTGTAATGGCCTGGTGGTATTTAAAAATATATATATATATATCTTTCATCTAGACAATTAATTTCTTTGTGGTTGGACTCGGTGCTGCCCCAACTTGTTGTTCACCACATACCAAAATAAATAGTGTTTCAAGATGAAGCAAAAATAAAATTTGACACTCTTATTAATTACAAAACTAAGAAAATTAATTATGAAGAAATATGTTCCTTTAATAGTGTAGTATAATGATCAGTATTAAGTTTAACGTCCTTAACAAGTTTTCCCTGCATTTCTTTTACTTTGATTCTTTAAGTTTTACCTGAGTAAAACTCTAACTTCAACAAAAGTGTTTTAAACAGGATTAATAATTCTACTTAAGTAATAAACATTCATATATTTGACACCTCTTTATTACATCAAGGTGCAGATATTGTACCGTTTGGTCCGATCAGTTAATCAGGCCTGTTTTCTGAGAGCCACGTGACTTCTTGTCAGCGTTGTCATGACGACAGTCAGGCAGCGCTGTTCATTGTGGTTCCTTTTCCGGACAAAGGTAAGGCTGATATAGCAGACATAGCCCTGCTAAATGCGACTTTAGGGTTTTTTTTTTATAACATTTAACACAGGCTGTTGGTTTTTATCCCTGTTTAGGAGGAAATGAATGAAATGGCAGAAAATGGCAGAGCTGTGGAGCCCAAAGAAAAGCCCACTTTAGACCCCACTGATGTGGCGCAGGTGGGTCACTGTGGGATCCAACATCATCATTGGTTGGATACGACGCCACGATATATCAACTTTATTCTCGAAATGGCGAGTTTAAAGTCGACACGTCGAGATTAAACTCAACATGACATTTCAACTTTATTTTCGAAATGTTGAGTTTAATGTCGACATGTTGACTTTAAAGTCGACATGTCGGGTTTAATCTCGTCATGGCAAAAATATTTTTTTCTCTTAATGTGTGGCCCTAATACTCCGTCGTATAAATGTGATGTATGCGCCCAGGGCCGCTGGAAGGGATTTTGAACTGGGGGTGATATGAGCCTATAGGCCTCTTCAAAATATAATAGAAATAGATAAATAGATTGAGTTTTACTACTTTATTGTCATGCACACTTCAGTGCACACAACCAGGCTCTGTAACACACAGACATCAGTTCTCAGGTGAATATATGAGCTATTAACCATTTATAGTGCAAGTTATCATTTTGATCTCTTGGATACCCCTTAAAAAATGGAGTCGCCTCTTGTCCCTCAGTGAAGTCTAGAAAAACTAGATCTATATCCAGCCATTCATCAAAGATGCTGCTACATGGCTGTACATCTTATTTTGGCATTTCACCAATTAAATGAGCGAGCCCCTGAATGATAAATTACCTACTCGAAATTAAGTTGGGGAAAAAAAAAGGTAAAAAGCTAATTGAAAAGTTAAACGTTAATAAGCCTCGTTAACAATTATATTAAGGTTTATAAACTTAAAAAATGTAAGTTTCAGTATCAGCATTAATGCCTCTAAGGTTATGTTCGACCCAAAAAAAATTTGTTTCTTTCTCTCAGATTTTTTTTTTTTTATGAATTTCTTATAGGAGCACTTTTCTTATTTTTCTTATTATATTCAGGCAAGTAGGCGTTTCTTGTTATTACATTGACATACATTTTTGCCATCAAAATATCCATATTTTTTTTAATGTTATAAAGATAAGATTACTAAATTAGTTGACAATTGTTACAATAATCGATAATCACAAAGAAGAATTTGAGAACTTGTGTTGATTAGGCCTCAAAATAATGAAATGTCAATATCATTTCCCCAAATTTTCATAAAAATTATGCAAAGTATTTTTACATATTACTTGGATGCAAAGTTGTGCAAATGTGTCTTTTTCTATTTATCAGCTTCCAGAGAGCACAAACTGTCTGACATGCTCAGAGGATGGCAGATTCCTGGGTTTGGGTCACAGCCAGGGCCTGTCTGTGTGGTCTGCGTCTAATTTCACCTGCGTGGCAGAATGGCTTCAACCACAGCTGGAGATCACCTTTGTCCAAATGACCAGAGTAGCTGAGAATACCTATCTGCTGGGAACAGTGGATGATATGGGTAGAAGGCCAATAATCTAATCCTAAAAATGCATTCCTCATTTACACTGTGGTCATGATACTCATTGTATATATTTCCTCTTCTTTTATCGTTACCGTTACCGTTAGCGTCACCAACTGCTTTTAAAATTCATAAAATAGGTTAATCTGGGTAATTTAATTTTAATTTTAAAAAATCCAGTTTAATAAAGAGTTTAGATGTTTGTTAAAGAGAGACGGTGAATAAGCAGCATCATAAAGTCCAAGATGGACAGCAGACTGGTTAGGAGAAGGTTTTGGTTGAATTAAAGCAGGATTAGGTTCTGAAAAATATATATTCCCACACAACATTTTCAATTTAACTTCCCGAAAGGAAAAGAGGCACAGCTTCAAATCTTTTAAAAGACAGTCCTGCATAAATCCCAGGTAAGGCAGAAACATAGCTGAACTGGGAGAATCTGTTCATAGGATTTTTTTTCCCCCACTCCACAAGTGACAAGAATGAAGCCATACTATACTTGTTAGAGCTTCTAACTGTAATTATGCCACAAAGCATTTAAAGAATACAGCTAAAGTCAGATTACACCAAAAACGTTGAGTGTAGTATAGCCTGCACATCACTCTGAACATCCCTAACTCAGAGTGCGAACATAGTGGTGGCAGTATAATGCTCAGGTAATCCTCTACATCTGGGAGCATTTGTAAATCAACTTCATTCATCTTAAATCTGGCTTTTATTTGGAGAGCTCCTACAGTGACAGACTGCTGCACCCTAAATGCACCAGGGAGCGTTATCACAGATCCTTCCTCCCAGCAGCTCGAAGACTTTATAACCACCACTGTTTCCAATAACGTCAATAAGTTGTTAGATTCATGCTGATTTTCCACAGTTTCTAATTTAGTCAGTTGAATTAAAATGCTGCTGTCATTTTGCACATCTCTGATGTTGCTGCCCTTTTCAAATATCCATTACTGTAAAAATATCCATAGCTGGATATTGGTTATTTATTCTCCAGGTGCACGTTATTTATATTGTTAAAACATTTTACATTACAGTATTTTATTTTCACATTTTCTTCACTATTATGTTATCCTTAAACCTTTTTCTAAGGTCCGCACTTGTGTGACATTATTTTTATATAAACTTTTTGCTGCTGTAAACACCAGAATTTCCCCATAGTGTGACACTAAAGGGATTTTTTATTCTATTTCTGACTTAAAATGTTGATATTCTTAAAGTTAGATTTTTTTTTTTTTTGTATAAAGTTATTTCCTTCCAATAATTGTTCCAAGAATTAGATTACTTTTTAATCCAACCAGGAAAGTTATTCATAGTTTTTTTTTATTGTTGTTTTTGCATGATATCAGGTTTGTTAAAGACAAATGGGATTAGTAAGGATCATATTGTTTAAAATAAATCCCACCAAGTTGCCAAAGAGGAGCTGATTTTAAAGCTTTTAAGACTTACATGCCATTTTATGTTTCCACTAATGAATGGTAGATCTGCAAACAATAGATTTGTTGAACGACTTTGAAATTGCTCCTCACAGATTAGATTTCCTTAACTATAATAGGTCCCAGCTCTTCATCTCTAGATTAAAAGACAAATGCAACTAAAGGTGGTTCTAAAATCTATTTACTCAATGGGGTTGAATATAAATACAAGTCACACTATTAAGATTTTTTATTTTAAAATATATTATTTTCCTTCCACTGCAAAATTCATTTTGGTCTGCCACTTAAATCCACAGAAGTTGGTTTTAAAATGTGACAAAGTTAGAAACAAATTAAACCGCTATTAATAGTTTGCCAGCCATCAGATTTCCACACATTATTATTCCAAACATTTATTTTAAATAGATATGATCCACAAAAATATAACATCTGTGATGATTTAAGAACATCATGTTTTCTAAAAACCAGTTTTTAAAAGGCTAATCTTTTATATCTTAGGTGTTTCCAGAGTGTTTGGACTTTGCTTTGTTGTCATTCACCTTCTCAGCACCATCAACATCATGGTGGGTGATATTATTAATCTGAATTTTTGTTTGCTGCCTTTTTAAAGTGTAATCTTTATACCAATATTATTATATTACATATTTATACCAATATTATATATATTAATTTTATTCTATTTAAATAGGACTGAGTCAAACCAATGTAGTAAGAATGTCTCATTTGACAAAACAGGAAGATATCAATATAAGAAGCATTTTTAGGACATTTGAGTTTCATGAAGATGGGGAGTACGGAGCTGCATCAGTAAGCTGTAAGTTATTGGTTTTCATCATGTTCACAAATTCTGTTATATCTCTACATTTAAATGCTAAATCAGACATATTTGCAGACAGCGATGCAGTGTGGCTAGAGGTCTATCAGTTTCCTATAGAAGCGTGGCAGAGAGAGCTGCAGATGGAGCCAGCTCAACCAAAGGTAAACAAACCGCAATCTGCTCGCACCTGCATTACAATATGTTTCTTGCTGCTTCGATAAACATTTGAATCATTTTGCAGACTCTTCTATACATAATGCATTTTTTCCATCCTAATATAACCTGCAGTTATTAAATTAGATTCAGATCTAACCTTATAATACATTTCACTAATAAAATGCTGCAGCTTACATACAGAAATGGGATTTATATAGGGTTAAGAATCAGGTTTTGAGAGATCACAGCACTGACAGATTGTGGCTGATCCCTCGCACCCCAGCCACAAACCCCAGTCCCTTCCCTCTGGCAGGAGCCTGAGGTCCATCAGGACCAAAACCTCACATCACAAGAACAGTTTCTTCCCATCAGCTACCAGCCTTATCAACAGGGCCCAGAGACCCCCGTGATACTGTCACTGCCCCTCTCCCTCCCCATTCACGACCTAGAAGCTACACCAACGTAGCATCTCCAGACCTCCTGCTTTGTATTAACGTACAGCCTACTGTGCTTATAGTCCATAGCTACATATTATATATTGAATATAGTGTATTGTGTGTTTTATATTGTATATAGCTAGAGATTATGTACTCTGTCTATATATATCTAATTTGTCTGCACAATTAACACCAAGTCAAATTCTTTGTAAGTGCAAACCTGCAGAATCAGATTCTGATTCTGGCATGGTATTGGTCAAACTAATGATCTCTTTGTATTGCTGTGTTTCCGTGCTACTGTTGACAAAATCAAGGTTCAGTTACATCAAGGTTACATCCTTGTTGGATGTGTTTATATTTTCCTTTCAGTCCACACTATAGGGCATTTCTTTGGTGATCCCCTCCAGCTTGATATATCTCTGATATAGGCACAGATTGGGATGGTAGATTCAGTTACATAGTGGGTCATAATCAACCTTTTACTGTTTTCTAAAAAGTTGCTCTCTTTGCTAAGTCCTCCTTGAAAAATAACATCCTGGTTAAATAAACATTAAAAAGTGTTTGAATGGTTTAATATGTTTTTTTGATCAACTCCAGAAAACAAAAGGATGATATTCCACTGAGAGGACCAGATTGTAAGTGTTGTGTGTGTAAGACTTTAACTGCCTAAATAAATGTCTGAGGGTCAAATCATGTTGACTCCTCAAGCATATAAGCAGTTCTCCTGTAAACCAGAAGGTGGCAGCAATGATCCCAACATGTAGAATGTCTTATTTTGATATTTTTAAGTTGTTATATATGGTAGAGTTTGTCTCTGCAGTTATCTAGACGTCTAATTTGTAACTAAAGAGAGAGAACATCCGCTCAACTTCTTTAATTCAATTCAATTCTGTTTATTAATATAGCGCCAATTCACAACACGTCATCTCAAGGCACTTTACAGTTCACCAGATCATACAGTCAGATTGATTCAAAGTTTTCTATCCAAGGAAAACCAGTTGATTGCATTGATTCATCAACTCTAAAGGAATCTCTAACACTAAGCATTCTTGTAGCGACAGTGGAGAGGAAAAAGTCCCTTTAAACAGGAAGAAACCTCCAGCAGAACCAGGCTCAGTGTGAGCGGCCATCTGCTGAGGCTGACTGGGGTTCAAGGAGACAGAAGCAGAGATACAAAAGGCAACTGTAAAAGCGGCCCTGTCCAGGAAACACACAGCCAGGCAGACGAGCTCCGAGCCAGCTCCCATGTCAGAGGATGAAGTTAGTCACAGTCAGTTAGTCCCAGTCAGAGAAACAGGACTATGCTAAAAAAACAGGCCAAGCTCCAACATCTATATACAAAGGTGTTGATGGCAGCAGCACAGCTCATGTTTCTCTCCAGGATAGAGTCACCAACTGCTTTTAAAAAGACAAATATATGTTTATGAGGTTTATGATCAAGGGCCTCCTGAAAATCTGGTCTTTCCACAATCATTTATTTGGAAAATGTGGAAAATATTGCTCGCGTTCACTATCCTGTTGGTCTATTGTGATCAGCTTAGATTGGCCATGAAATGTTTCTGGTGCCTATTACTGGACGTTTTTACCAACCCTCGCTCTTGATTAACATTTTTTGAATCCACCGTCTTCCTCAGGACATCAGCTAGTTATGCAGTTTGATTTTTCGTGAGAAATGAAGAAACTGTTTTTATTCTTTAGAATCGACTGAAAATATTGTTCTTTACTGCAGCTTCACTATTAAGCTCCTGATTATTTTAGTATGATTATTAGTTAAAATTAGTTAAATTCCACCTTTGGATTATAAATCAGCATTTTAATGTTTCTGTCCTTATAAGTAATTAATATTTTACTTTTGTTTTTTAAACCAGATAGAAAGCTCTAGTTTTTTGACTGTATTGTTTGTTTAAAAAGCTTGGTAGAGGTTGAACTTTACAGACATTTGTTAATCCTCAGGATGAAAGCTTCTCTGAAGGATCGGATGTTAAATGGTCTCCAGTCACACTAATCCTAAAGATCTCTCCACCCACTGTTCCAACAGGTAAAACAAAATGTTTTTAATGTCCTACGGTTTGATTAGTATGGAAGCGTATTATGGAAGTGTAGAATTTGTTTCTTTGGTGAATGCAATATGCTTTCGTAGATTAGAATTTGGTTGGTAATAACAAAAAGCACCAACACGGCAAAACATATAAATCTAACTAAGTCCCTTTTTCTCAAAATAAGTGCATTTTTCTTCAACTGAGGGGGAAAGGAAGATACTTTGCCAATGGAACAAGAAAATTTACATTTAAATAAGAAAAATCTATTGCATTGTCTCAGTTCAAGTGCATATTATCAAATTATTTTATTTTAAGAGTAAGAATATTCCTTCCATTGGCAAATCTGCTTATTTACCTGTTCAAACTAAGGATAAATACATTTGATTTAAGACATTTTTAGTCATTTCTAGATAGTTTTTGCAGTGTAGATGCTGTATTAGCAGCACCACCAGTAATTTGTGTACTTATAAACTGTTACGTTTTCTCCCGATTTGCAGAAAACATGTGTGACTTTTTGACACAATGTTTGGCTCTGGATATGATCAGAGGAAGTGGCCATCAGAAGGAGCAATCTTCCTTCTGTTCAGAGGATGGAAAAACAAAGAAAGCGTGCAAAAGCCCAAGGTGAGATTTAGTTATTAGATTGAAGCAGGTTAGAATCTGATGGCTACTCTTAATCTAAAACTTAATCCTTATTTATCTTGATATACTGTATATATATTGTTTATTCTTAATGCACCTTTTTCCTCCTTGTTTGCACCTTTAATTACCATGCCAATATGTGACCAGTGAATTTCTCCGCTGTGAGATCAATAAAGCTCATCTAATCTAATCTAATCTAATCTGCTTTGCACCCAGTATATACAGCCCTTCCTTGTAATGCACATCCTTATGACAGTTGGCATATGGTGTCATTTTCTATTTCTTCAAACTGTAAAATCCTTGCAACAAACGAAATTATAATAAAACTAAAAAGCTTTCTTGAAACCAAACTTCAATGTTCCTTTTATATTTGGTGAATTTATATTTGAATATTTAGCAAAAATATGTTGCAGTGCATTATGGGGTTTTGCATCTACAGGCTGATGTTTTCTGTCTTATGTGCATTGCTGCCAGGTTGGGATGCTTCCCAATCTGGCCTAAGAGATCAATAGACTTTGGTTCAAATTGGGAAATTTTTCATATGTCCAGGTGGTTTATGAACATTTTTTGGGCTGGAAAACGTGAGTCGGTAACACCTGGCAACCCTGCTGATGTGGTTAGTGGGGACGTTCAATAAGTGGGCCGGTGTAGATGGAAAAATGCCAGGGCTGAAAGTCGTTTCCAGTCCCAGCCTGTTTGCACTGCTAATTTTAACTCAAAATGTATTAAACACAATTTTTACATCAGATGAAACAAAAGCTGTCTTTTATGCTCATGTTGTGTTATTGGGCTTTAGACCTTAGATTCTAACAATCCTCTTGTTTGCTTTTCTTTCAACAGTTGCACTCATCACTTTCTCCTGCCTTGTGATAAGTTGACTAGTGGCAGTGAAGCAGGGACAGGTAGGGAACGCTAACAGCATTTTGATGAATGTCTCTTATTCATACATAAAGTATTGATGGACTACTTAATGCCTTGCAGACACAGTAGAGTTCAATTGAAATAGTTTTCATTATTGCACCATTGAGGCCACTGCTCCCCAAGGGGATGGGTTAAAGGCAGAGGTATATTTCTCCAATGTGAGATCAATAAAGGTCAATTATTATTATTATTATATAGACTGAGTTTTTCAGTAAAAAAAGTCTACATATTTTTGAAAAGGGTTGAGGTTTGGACAACTCCGGAAGCCAAACGTTAACCGTTTTAATCCATCCTCAAACCCAGCTGTAAGGCCTGTTTGGGATCACATTGTGTGTGGAAAATTCCAAATATGTCCAAGTTCCCTGATTTTTGTTCCTGCGACATTTAAGAATGTGAAAGAAATCATAATTTCTTCATTAGCTGACCCAGGAAATAGAAAAAAATCCCTTATCATGGTGCTACCACGGATACAGTATATACTGTACTTAACAGATGCTTCAGCATTCATAGGTTTTAGCCTGTTGTTGAATTTATCAAACACATTTTGTGACATTTTTGCCAAGGGGCTCAAATTCGTCTTCTTTTAATACATTAATACATTAGCTTTTTTTTTTTTACAAAATATGTTATATTTTCTGTTTTCCTTTAGACCTAAGTTATTATCATATGAGAGGAACTGTACAACAAAACACTAGAAATTAAACATGCAATCTTCAAACGTCCCTTCTGAATTATGTCAGACGCTTAATGGCTACAAATAAGTGAGACTATTTTTTTAAAATTAAGTTAACATATCAATCAGTAAAAGCTCAAAATAAAAGTTCAATGTCAATAAAGACAGAATCCAAACCCCTGACCTGTTTATGGTTAAGAATAATGAAAGTTTTCAACAGAATCCTTGAAATGTGTCTCCCAGTGCTGCAGCTGTCATATCTGATAGCTGTCAGATATTTGAAAGGATAATGCCTGCATTTAAATAGCATATTAGAAAGAGAATAATCCTTTTCTCTGCAGGATTGCCTGTGGCTGTTGCTGTTTGGTGGAGCGGATCCTGTAATCTCCTCCAATATTCACTGCAAAATGTCCCAAAGGACAAACCAGGGAGGGCATTTATCTCATTGGTTCTAAATATTCCAAATCTTTAAGATTCTGTTCTTTGCACCCAACACAATAATTTTTAGATTTTTTATTTTGCTTTATTGTTATAACAGATGTGACACCTATGCCAGAAATGTTGTTGCCAAATGCAAAGGATATCCTCTGCTCAGCCGTCAGCCGATGCACATGTTACATAGCTCTGGGGTTTGAGGATGCTCTGGTGTCTATCTGGGACAGGCGATCTGGTGAGCACAATTTATGGATTATATTTTTATTTATTTTTACATCTGATATATTGTAGAAATGTATGATTTAATTTAGCTATTGTTACCTACATTTTGAAGAACAGCTGTTTTGAGTGACAGTGACGTGTCACAATGGATCCATTGACTAATCTAGCGCAGCTTCAGAGCTATTTCTTAACCGTGAGCTAAATGTAATTTTATTGGATATATTCTCTATCTGTGTGATGAAATGTGTGTTTTTTAAAGCCATATTTCTAAGTTTCAGAAAATAATTTGACAGTCAGTAAATGCTTCTAAAATCAGCCTTTGTATCCAAGTCATTTAGTTTTAATTACACTTTAATGGATGACTGATAGATAGTGACAAATAGATCACAAGTTATTTCCATAAAAAGCTAAGAATCGCCTTCTATAGAGGTAATTCCATGTGCTTATAAAATCTATCGTTAGAAAAAATATTGTTTTTCCTCTTTGCTAATGATCGTTCTATTTGTATGTAGATGTTTGCAGATGATACAGTGTTTTTTACATCGATACTATAACCCATTCTCAGGTAGTGAGTCAACAAAAACCAATACTATGGTTGAAGTGGTTGAAATGTTCAGTTTAGGAAACTGGATATGAGGTTATTCTAGAAGACGTTGCACCTGTAACAGTTATGGGCTAGGCAGCTAACTGATATATCAGAAAAGAGTTCGTTAAGGAGCCTGACGTGTCAATGAAAACACAAGGAAACTGTTTCTTGTTGGTGTTTCGTGCAAGTGTATTATTGTTTTTCCTTGCAGGAAAAAAAACAACAAACAAACAAAACAATTACAAATACACAAATAAATCAATTCAAGAGTCCTAGGGGTCTTGTCCTTTTTTAGCTCGCCATCAGTTGTTCAGGATCTGAGGATCTGATCCATCATATATAAAAAAAAACCCGACCTAAAAGGCCAGAAAACCCATTAAGTGTTTTAACAAACCCAAATGCAACAAATAAAGTCAACACAACTATCAAATATCTAATAATTAAACATTTCAATCAGGTTAAATGAACCATAATTTAAATAAACAAGAATAATCATTTCAAACTAATCAATTAAGGTTAAACTTGAAAAGTTGAAATCAAAGTAAAATTTCAAAATATCAAATAAAATAAATTAACTCAAATACTCAAGCAGTGTGAGGAAAAGAAATGAAATAAATATACTGCGCAATATCAATTTAAATGTAAATGTAGCTACATTATCCTATTTTAATACATTTCATTTCACAAAGTGCCCAAACACACACCATACCAGCAGTTTAGTTACCTTAAAGCAGGGAGTGGGGTGCACCCAACAGCGATCAGCTGTGACAGCCCAGGCACAACAGCAACTGTTCTAATAAAACAATGCTCCAATGAGCAATTAAGCAGCAATTGCATACCAATCTGATACTGCTATGCTAGGAACAAACTCACCAAGAGAGCAAATCAGTAGTTTCAGAGATTTGGATTATTTCCAGGGTGAAATGTTCAGCAGGACGCCAACAGCCAGCCACAATCACAGTGGAACAGTTGATGTAGTTTAACCTGGCTGGAGGCGGGACTTTAAATAAGTTGAGGAGTTTGGGCAGAACAGGAAGTGGGCCCGCAAAAATAAAAGTCTTGATTGATATACTAATTGCGGGTTACACACCTCTCATCCAAGAGGTCTCTTCAGTTCTAACTGATGATCGGGAGCATTTAGATTAATATACTGTAGCTTGAGCAAAGAATTGGGGAGAAAACCAAAGGGTTCTTGCAATGGAGGTCACCAGGGGGTTGCTAATGGTCGTTAGGGGGTTTGGATGGGCCGTTAACTCCCTCAGAGTGGTTTCAGCCACGTGCCTCATTGAAATGTGAGTCAGCTGAAAGGTTATGTCAAAGACCACCTCCTCTGTTGAGAGCAATGACTGTTGGGAAATGGTTGTTCCAGGTCAACAAAGATGGCTTCCTTAACCCCTCTCTCAAACCATCTGTCTTTCTTGGCCACATTATGGATGTTTTTGTCCTCAAATGAGTGTCGTTTAGCCTTCAGGTGTAGGTGATCTGCTAAGTCCTGTCCTGAGGAGTTGGCCTTGTTGTGTTGAGCCATGCGCTTGTGCAGCTGTACGCTTGGTTTCTTCAATGGTCTATGCACTGATGACGTAACCACGTACCGTTTAAACCACTAGGAAAATTCAACTCTACTGTTCAACTCTAAGATAGAAGCACCAAGAAGGTTTTAAAACAAAAACGTCAGAATGAAAGATTATACGTAAATGTTAATATTGCATAGGAATATTAAAAAAGCAGCCTGATGGGGTTTAGCTGCAAACATAAAGTTGATTTTAAGGTGAGTTACACTGTAATATTAGTGCGGCCTTTGTGTTTAGGGCATAGAGCTTGGAATCCAAAGGTTCTGAGTTCAAGCCCCATACCCACGGACTGACTCTCTGGGTCCCTGACCAAGACCCATAATCCCAAACTGCTCCCTAGGCGCCCTACAATGGCAGCCCAATGCTCTACAAGGGGATGTGTTGATTGCAGAGTTCATTTGGTTGCTCCGTACCTGTGACAGTGTTATACATATAAAAAGAAAAGTAAAGTTTTAGCTCAATGCTTCTAAAACAATGTCATGTTTTACTGAAAGTCTCACTGGTTTTCTGTAGAGCCAGTCATTTTCTGTCACCAGAGAGAGACTTAGTCCTTTCTATTAGAAGTATTTTGGAGTTAAGATTAATGAAATGCTTTTATTTAAACTTTAAGCGAACAAACATCTGAAACAAGGCCAAAAGAGTATAGACATACCTCCAAATACCTGCAGCTGTTAATGCATTTAAAGGTGGTTTTGCAAAAGACAAAGCAGAACAGGCTCAGGGATTAGGGTTTATAACATATTAAATTGTATTTTTGTTTTTATTCTTACCCTTAGGAGCGCCACTCTCCATCCTTGTGGTACCTGAAGAAACCAGCCCCATAACTAGGGTGCAGTTTTTGAAGAACTGCTCTGTAGCTGCTCAGGATTGTCAGATTGTAGCTGCTGATCCAGTCAGCCTGTTGTTGTTGTGTAAAAATGGAGCATTTTACACAGTGACTACAGGACCAGGCATTCACTCCTGCACCAAGCAGCTCATTGAAAGGTTACCTTCACTTTACACATGTCCAGCATTACCCATCTATAAGAACGTTCTCCTTTAAACAGGGTTTCCTTGATAAATATATATTCTATTCCATGCCATAGGCTGAAAGACAGCAGAGGTCTCCCGACTGTTACAACGATTGTGCCTTTCCTGCAGGGTGTGGTAGGAGCTCTTTATCATTTAATTCAGTATTTAAACACTGCAATGATAACTTAGACTAGTGTTTTGTTGGTTGTATTGTTCCAATTAGTCACTCGTTGTGCAGAGAAGTGGCAAAATGTCCCTGAAAGATGTCATCAACAGAGACACTGTGTGCAACCTGACTCTTCCAACATCCTTTCAAATCGCCTCTCCCTACAGTCCTGTTTACGTGCTGAATGTCAAACAGCAAGCACTGTTCATACGAGGTGAGGATTGGGATCATGGTATTCCCTCAAAAATAGTCCCTTTAACTAAAAGCTTTGATTTATCTCCCAGGTGACCCACAAACCAGCAGCAGTGATTTGTCTCAGAGGGGGAACCAGAGTCAGCTCTTTGTCTTCCGGTTCAATCAATCTGACATCGTTAAGCCTCTCATTGTTTCGCATCAAGACCCTCCCAGACAACAAACACTGGAGGAAATCTGCAACCTCTACCTTGAGCAAAGGTTAGCATCCCAGGCAGCAGTTTCTTTGTATCTTTCACCATTTGTCTAAATTATATAATTTCTGCTGTTTTTTTCATATACTCGTTTTTTACAATTTAGCTTTTTTTTTACTTTAAAAGATTTAATGTCAGCCCTTTCTTATTGTGAACATCTGCTGTTAAGGATCTTTGTTTGCCTTTATGACTCTTTTTGCTTTTCTTCTGTTTATTTTGCTGTAGTTGTAATAATGGCCAATCATAAACAGCCTTCATCAGATTTAATCCCAGGTTTTTCAATCTTCATGTTTTAAACCATCTAAAGGTGGACTTTCTGACATGGTTTGGGATCATTGACCTGCTTAGTGGGTTTCAGCTTAAAGAGGAACACCGTTTTTTTTACATTGGGCCCTTGATTTTACGTTATTACATCATGTTCTACTCACCCATATGAGTTTTGTGTCATTTGGAGCCGTTCTGAAGATATTCCATCCAAGTAACGTCTTCCTATGGGCAACGACTTGAAGGCACAAACTGAACTGTTCATAATGTATAATTAATGGTATGCCAGCATTTATAACATGTAGGTGAATCACTGTCCCCCAGACATCCACGGTTATATTTTTATATATCTTATATATCTTTTAAAAACAAAGTAGAGTGTATCTGACGTCATCTGCGTGCGCCGGCTACCATTCATTCATCCTGTCCGCTGAACTGCTGCTAGTTTTACTCACACGCCTGGAAGATGTCTAGTGCTACTACCACAGATGATCTCGCTCTCGAAATGGAATTGAACGATTCAGATTAGCTAGCCGAATGAATAGAAGGGGTAGAGCGTAGCCGCCTGTGGCCCGGGCTGCCTGTCACAACTCCAGTCTGGCAGGCAGATGATGTCATACAACCGGTGTTCCCCTTTAAGGTCACTAATGGGTAAACTTTCTAATTAGGGTTATCTGGCAAAAAGAAGACATTATAGTTCCGTGATTTATAACAAGTGTTACAGATTCTGAAAGATCCTGAAAGACTTTTCATCAATGCTTCTTCTTTTTTTATGGGCATTTTGAAGTATTGCACTACACACTGCAATAACAATCTAAAAATGAGAAACTGTCAGAAAACGGTGTTGGCTTGGAGGACCCAAATGCAGAAACAAGTAGGCAGCGGTGAATTTAAGTGGGTTTAATTAGGTTCACAGAAACTGAGGCAGGAATCAAAAAGTCCAACAAAATAACAAACGAACCAGAATCAAGGGGACATCGGGGGTAAACCAAAACTCAAGGAGCCAGGGAGAGACGAGGAAGGCAGACAGACGTTAGACGAGATGTAAGACGAGGATCCAGCAAACAGGAACTGAAGAGGGAGGGCTTTTAAAGGGGACGGAGACAGGGAGAGGGCTAATGAGGGAATTGAAAAAGGCTGAACAGAAAACAGAGCAAGAGAAAGAGGACACAAGAGGGCAGCAGAGGACAACAAATGGAAAACCTGGAAGACTGGAACTAATAAGAAAACATCAACAAAATAATAATAAAATAACTAGAATAAAGAAACATGGTGAAAAGAAAACTAAACACTAGAAATCAAGGACCAAAAGAAAAACATAACAGAAACAGAAACCTAAAAGAAACAATGTCTTAAATTAAGTATATTTACCATTAATTGAGTAGTTATATAAGATAATTTGCCAATGGAATGAGTATTTCTAGTCTTAAAATAGGATAATTAAATAATATGCACTTGAAATAAGAGCTTTATGGAAACTGCAAAATTGAAATCTGTTTACTAAATTTCACAAAAACCTTTTGACGCTCACTTTGCTTAAAGTTTAACTTTTTTCAAAAGAAGAGCAAATGCGCTAAAGAGCAGATGGAAACACATTAGTTGTATAAGTTCTGACATATCAAACATTTACCTCAGATGACTGATCAGATGTTTCTGCTGCTGTTGTCCACTGGCGTGTTTGACAGCATGTGTGAGACTTCAATATCTAGCAACTCTAGATCCATCTCTGTGTCCGTGATATCTTGCAGACACCATTGTTGTTTTGGAAAATAAACACTCCCGCCTGTGCCTCCGAAGTTCTCGTGACCATCCGCCGAAGTTCTCATGAGTTCTCAAATAGGCTCCCCCTTGCGCTTTGGTGGGAAACTGCTGTGCATCCCTAGAAATTCAGACTGACGGTGCAGAAGCATAGCAGCAACGCTGGTTCGCGACCAGACCCAAGCGACATTTGATGTGTGCGGTTGCAGAAGTCTAATCTGCCCTCTATTCCTCGACGTGAACGTATGATTGGTCAAATCTACATCCCCTCTACACTTTGCATATTTCCTGTTTGGTACCTTACCGGCTTGTTTTGTTTGTATGACCACCATTGTGGAAAGCGACTCGTGAAGATGGACCAGCTAGAAGAGCGAGCTGCGCGAGAACGCTGGGACCCTTTTCCCATCTGGATCCCCACTCTTTTTCAGCCTCATGTCCCTCAGTTTTCACACAAACTTACCCCCACTGCCTCGCCACCTCGGCCGTATCCAGACCCACAGCTAGTTGGTGATTGTCCCTCTTGTGTTTTGGCGTTGAATAACATAGCACAGACCACGCTTCAATATTGGGCATAAATCAAAAATATCTGTGTCATACCTGCGACAAGCTAACTGCAACACACTGCTGCAGCAGTATAACCAGCGCTTCACTTATACCCCCTTTCCTGTCAGCCCTCTATACAGAAAATGAGCCACTAGTGCCGTAAAAACCTTGGAAAAAGTCCGGGATCATAAAATTTTTCAATAAATTAACTTGAGCAAAGGCGGCAGATTTGTTTTATTGCTCTTTATGACCTCCTGCATGAATTTGTGGTGGCACTTGTAGAGTAATTTTAGCAGGCAAGCCTCCCTTAGGAAGATTTCCCACTGCTTCATGCTTTCTTGATCTGTAATCCTTACTTTCACACGACTTGGTGATGTGCTGTAGTCACCTTTTGCAGACTGCCAAATAGTGCTGTGTTGATACATAAGATCTCCCAGTCTGCTTCATGTTTACAGGCTTTATTTATGTGACCTTACACCAGTTGCGCTGGTTAGGCAGTTATTATGCCTTAAGGTCGCTAGTCAATTAGTGTTAAATCTTTTATTTCATAATTTACGGGTGGTGGGGTGGGGTTGTAATGATCCACGCAGTCAGACTTGTTTTAATACCTTTTTTGTATTTATTTAGCTTGTATTTTTCTCATTATTATTGTACATTTTCTTCAATCTAAAGCTTTAAAGTGTCACAAAAGATGTAAGGATGGAAACATTTTGTCAAAACACATCAGTTACAAATGTCAAGGATTTTACTCCCAGGATGAATCAGAACACATCAGACAAACTCACAGTTGGAACATTAATTTTTTGCTTTTTTTTCCTCTGAAGATCCCATTCAGCGGATGAAAGGAACAAAGCTCTGGCACAAACATGGGGAAAGCTGCAGGAAACTGCTGCAGCAATGGAGCAACAGAGATCTGAAGAATTTCATCCACTGAGCTACTAAAAGGATACAAATAATAATATGTGATACTTTTATTTCTTAAAACAAAATATTGTTTCTCTGTTTAAAATAAATACCAAGTAAGGGAGCCTTTCACACTCAATGCATTTCATTTACAGTTATTAACATGTTAGCATTTACAAAACAGATTTTATTATAACCTTCCCTGTAAGAATAAACCACTTGAATCTTCCTCTTATTCTGAATCTTTAAATGTTCCATCTACCCTTCATTATAAGCTGCTTTCAGGACTGGACTGTTGGATTTCACTGTCTATAATCAGAAAGCTGCTTTTCAGAGAGGATGCCTTGGCTTTCATATGACTGTCATTAGCTTTTCCTGACTCAGCCGCCTGAACTCTTTTCGTAATGACAAAGAATTGGCAGGAGAATATAAAGATCCACTTATAACGGTGGTGTTTTCCACATCCGCTGCGGAGGCAGCGTTGCCGTAATACCTTCGTAGCCCCTTCCTGAAGTGGATGGTGAACAGTCCGTAGATCACTGGGTCCAGGCAGGCGTTCACCAGCCCGAAGATAAACAGGATGTGGGCCAGAGAGTGGGACACCTTATCCTCCAGATCATCAGGACAGAACCAGTACCAGAGGCCCAGCAGGTAGTACGGAGTCCAGCAGATGATGAAGGACAAGACGATCACAACACTCATTTTTAAGGTTCTGATCCGGGCTCTGGGGATGTTGTTTTTAGAGCACCTCAGGCGTAGCTCATTGGTGGAGACTGGGAACAGCCAGAGAGAGAAAGCAGAAGAGTCAGTATAAGACTGGTGAACTGAGCTTAGAGCCGGTTAACAACATCCAGGATGGATTAATCCAGGGTTTTTATCTCAGGAGTGGTGTAGATTTTTTTTTTTTATGGTTCTACAAAGTCATGTTTGTTTTCTTTGTTAAGTTCTATATTTAAAAAAGTATGATAAATAAAATGTATTTGCATTTTTTTATTTTATCAATCAAACATTGGATATAAACATGTATCCATTTTTCTTTATGCATTGAAATGTTTTTTATGCTTGTTTTATTTGCATGTCTAGTGATGCTGTGTAAAAACTATTTGAAACAGATTTAATTTTTTTATATTTTTGGCTCCATCAGCATCCTCCTTACTGTGGATGGCTGCAACAAATACAGGTTCTTCACCAGCCTTGTTTGTTTCAGTTTCAGTGTTTTCAGCTTTTGTATTAATTGAACAGGGAAGTACTTATTGTGTAAATTTGGTTTTGAGTTCTGAAAATAAATGACCTCCCTCCCTTTAGAAACAACGTTTCCTCCTCCTTCCCAGTTCGGCTCACTAAAGAAAAATGTTGCTTCATCTTTAAACCTAAAACAATGTCATAGATTAGATATTAGATACTCACCAAAACTTGTTAGTTTAGTACATGATAAAGAAAATTACTGTTAAATCAGTATTTTTTCAAAACATATTCATGTATTCATGGATTCTCAGTCATCCAGGTCATAGTTATTCCAAAATAGTTAAAAAACAATCCACTGGACTTTGTTTCTAAGTTTAAAGACGTCTCGCTTCCCATCCAGGAAGCTTTTTCAACTTAAAATGTCAGAAACAGCGTTGAGTTCTAGGTTTTATACAGTAGCCCAACAAAGCCTTGTTTGGGCTTAGAAAACATTCAAATTGAACCGGATGAAAAGGAGGATTGAAAGGGGTGAAGAAAGCCATTTATGATGAGAGAGAAAAAACAACTTTAAACAAAGGGGGTGGACTCAGGTTTCAGCTCACAAAAACCTACAATGCAGCGATAGAGTTGATTCCTTCCCACTATCATAATCCTCACCCCCATGCAGGGGACCAAGACATCTCGCCTGGTCAGCCAGACCAACAATCCCCCTGAAGACCCCCTTTTCAGGGGCATAGACCAGTATCGGTTAGCAGGCTAACAAAGACCTCAACGACTCCCTATTACTAAGCGCTGGACCTGTTCCTCTGGCTCAATTTGCATGGTTCTAAGCCATAACAAGACTTTCTTTGGAAAACTTGGAAAACAAAGTCCAGTAAATATTTATTTTTTTTTCAGTTTTTTGGAAGTAAAAAAGAATGCAATGTCTAAAAACTCATTTTTGCCATAATGATTTGCTGAGATAGGTGTAGTTATGGGGGGTGTTGGGGAGTGGTGGCCAAGTGGTTCGGGCATAGGTCATGGAATCCTGAAGTTGTGAGTTTGAAACCCACTCTCACACACTGCCACTCTGGCTCTCTGAGCAAAGACCCTTAACCTCTTAATATCCACCTCATTTTGGGAAATTCTCGCCTGTTTTGCATACCAGAATGGAAAAGTAAATAACTTAGGAAACTCTAAGCCCAAATTACATGTTAATTATTTGAAAGCTAACACCTTCTAGTTTCTGAATATATAAATGAAAATTGGGTGAGTAAAAGACCCAAGTTGCATCAGTTCAAACAATACTTAATGTTTTGTTTTTTTTAATTCTCAAAAATAATAGGTATTTTTTGAACAGCAGTAACAAAGACATGCTTTCTTGTTTTGGCTGCTTTGTCATGCTACATTTTGAGATCCTTCTATATCTGTGTTAATTGTTCTTTGGTGCTGGAGTGTCCATAAAATAAACTTGGTGGTTGAATTGTGGAGAATCTAAGCTTTCCAACGATGTCTAACATGTCTATTTTGGTAAACATTTTACCAGTGTAATTTTCATGCATTCTGAGTTATTATTTGTAAACGCTTTGACCCCACACTGCTCCCCGGGCGCCACAAATGGCAGCCCACTGCTCCCCGAGGGGATGGGTTAAATGCAGAGAATTATTCTCGTTGCTGTACTTGTGACGGGGTAATTACAATAAAAATGTTTATCCAAAGCTAGATTAAAACTGCATTATATTTAATTCCTGAAAAAGAAAATAAATGTATCAAAGAGGAAGAAAAGCTTGAGCAGATTTATGGTTGGTAAAAATAAAATCATTTCTATCCAACTGTTATATCAATCTATTTGTAGCTCTATGCTGGAAGCAGGAGGTGTTGCTTTATAAGCTTTTTGTTGGAACTACAATGATCCACTGATCCAAGACTACAGACTTACAGTGGTCCTTCTTCAGCCGTTTTGAAATCTCATGGAAGATCCTGGCGTAACAGGTGATCATGATGACCAGCGGCAGCAGGAACAGGCAGGAAAAGGTGAACATGTTGTAGGCCGTCTCATGCCAGCGAGTGGCAAAGCTTCCCCATGTTGTGCACTGGGTGAAGTCCTCAGGGTGGATGATGGTCACCTTGTGAAAAAGGAAGATCTGAGGAGGGAGACTGAGATCATTTAAGTGATTCTAGACCAAAACCCCTAAATCGTTTAAACAACTCCAAGATAAATACGGTTTACATTCAAAAGACTTCTATAAGTACTTACTTCTTATCACACAAATAATGGCTTACTTTGAAGCAGAATACACCATCTTTGGAATTATTTCTGATAAAATGTGTAGAGGAAAATGATAAAAAGAATTTACAGAGACATTACTACACATTTTATCAGAAATAATTGTAAAATATAATAATTGTATCTCTGACAGCTCTACAGATACAAAGCAAAAGTGGGAACCAAAAAAGAACATCGTTATTGAAAATGAGGAATGGGAGGAGATTTCAGACAAAGGTTTTAAGATTACCCACAGCCCAGCATGGAAAGAATTCAACTGGAAATTAATTTTCTAAAATACCCTCTAGTATTTCAAATACAACAGAAATGCCTCAAACCTATGTTGGAGGAACTGGAATCAGATAGGGGACTACACTCACATCTTTTGGGACTGTCCAGTACTGATTCCATTTTGGCAAGGGATTCAGACAGAAATTAAACGAATACTTGATTTTACGTTACCATTGAACTCGTTTTACTATATATTGAGAAAATAATGAGAAGAGGAAAGCCCAGTTATGATATATTCTGCTAATAGTAGCAAAGAGAATGATAAGTCTTTCTTGGCTTAAGCCTTTCCCCCCAACGATTCAACAATGGCAAGAAAGATGGAAGAATGTGTATGTAATGGAGAGGATAACAGCAAATCTGCATGTGAAAATTGACATATTCTTGGGAGTGTGGGCCCCACCTATCGCCTGCTTTGGATCGCCACAGGGATAGAGAACGCAATAGGCTGAAAAGAAAAAAACATGTCAGCCCTCATTGTATGTATGTATTCCTGTATATTCTGTATAATCCCATATATTTATATTTATATTTATGCATAACTTTTTACAGTCCCTAACTATTAATTTTTGCTTGTACATACACCTGTAATAATATTTATATCCTGTATAGCACTTCTGGATAGATGCAAACCACATTTCGTTGCTTTGTACTCGTGAAAGTACAATGATAATAAAGTTAAATTCTATTAAATTCTATTCTATGTATCTCTCCACTTTTATGGTAGACACTGGACCAGTACACCTCCCGTCTATGTGAGCCCACAAGGACCCTGCTAAGAACGGTCAATTAGCAAAATAGAGCTGAATGTTTGCTGAACCACCCCCTTTTTATATATTTTTTCCTCTTCTTGGGTTTTACATTGTTTGTATATACATATACATATGGATATATGTTGGATTTATTATACTTTTAAATAAAGAATGTAAAAAAAAAAAAAAAAAAAAAGAACCAGTCCAGCATGTTTTTTTTTTTAAAGTCATAATAAATTGCTGCTGTGTTCACACGGTTTGGCTGAGCGAATGTGATCCAACTCAGCAGGAAGCTTAAAGAGTCACATAACCTGAACACGAGAACAGAAAGGTTACCAGCTTCCTGTGGTGTTTCATCATAGCAACAGGTAGGATCATAAATATTTATATAGTGTCAAATGGCTGCATATTTCACAATTAAAAACAATTTAAACTATGGCAGCTGTAGCTAATAAAGCAATCTGCTACCATGGACTGAGACCATTGCTCAGGTGTGACCTGACTTTGATCATCCTTTCACTTGGGTGTCTGTGAGAGATCGTTTTCCTCCTCTGTTACTCATGGAGTAGTGTTTTTTCTCAAGGCTTAAAGTCAACATGGTGTAACTTAAGGAATTAGACAAACGGTGGCTGGTGTGGGACCTCCAGGTGGGGAGGGGAAACCTGCATGGGAAAAGTAAGATCATCATTTTATGGAACAGTTAACCTAAAAAACTGGAAGCTAAAATCTTCTTATTTTATCTTTGGTATCTTTTACTATTATTTATACCTTTGGGGTTTTAGATTTTTTTCTGTCATTACAAAAAAAAATATGTTATTTACAGTAATATAATGTGATAGACCCACAAAAAAAAAAGGATTGCCCCTTATAAAATGAAAAGAACAAGATGGTTAGGTATGGCTTTTATCTTTTACAACCTAATTTTTCTTGGCTTGGAAAGCTTATGGAGATCAATCTCTTCCAGCTGTTTGCATCTAAACATACAATTCAACTCATGATTCTTGTAAAATAGTTTCAACTCAGTCAAATTCAGAAAGTTAAGCATTATTTCAACATATTTTTACTAAAGTGGAGGTAAAAAGTAGTCATGTACAAGATTACTCAAGTAAGAGTGGAAAAGCATTTAGTCAAAAGGCCTCTTAGTTAAAAGATGATAACATTTTGAATTTATTCATGAAAATACCATCATCAGATTGACAAAAATATTAGAGTACCCAAAAATTCTTGTATTTTAGAGGCAGAAAATCCAAAAAAATGACTAAAACTATTGACAGCATGACAAACTCAAAAAACTCAGACCGAAGAGAAATATTTGCAAAGATTATCACAACATAAAGCCTGTGAATCTAACACAGATAATATCTAGAGAATAGAATGGTCCAAAGTGACACAGAAGACTTAATTTATGTTCACTTGAACTCCAAAAGTCACAGCAAGTTCATTATTCAAACGAAAAGTATGGTTCACTTATTTTCCTAAAGGTTGCTAATATGTAAATGTATTAATCCTGTCATACTGGACAGCAGAATCCCCACATCATCATGCTGCCACCACTATGTGTTACCGTGGACTTGATCCACTCAAGGTGATATTTAGTGATAGCTTTCCTCAAGCTTTTCCTCCATGCCCTGTCTGGGTTTTTTCTTTCAACAACAGCTCTTTTCTTGTCATTCCCCATGGAGGTTGATCTGTTGTGTTCAAAATTCATATCCACAGATACACCCTGAGATGCAGCTCCCTGCAGCTCCTCCAGAGAATTCCTCCTGTTTGTTCACTGATGTCAGCCTTCACAGAGCAGCTGGGTTTAAATTGAGATGAAACACACAGATATACCTTTTTCGACTATCTGCACACCTGTTAGGAGCCTTTGTTTTATCAGAATGACAACATATAAGCTACACAAAGTTTTATTGTTGAAGGTTTTTACATAAAATTGCATTATTTTCCTTTGGCTGCACATTAATGAAATATTTTCTGTACGAGGTCCCAATAAGATGCATGGAATTGCATGATTACAATGTGTCCTTGTGTAAAGAAATAAAATAAAATAAATAAATCTGTTAATTCCTTGTATTTTATGTCTCCTAAGCATTTAGGGTTTGAGTGTTTGTTTCACCAATATGTGAAGTATGGAAAACCAGAGCAACCCATAAAGGTCTGATACATCACACCTAAACCAATTAAATAATCTGTCTTGACCCTTGTTTACTTTAAATGATATATATGAGTTTATATGCTGTTGAGATATTATGACCAAATATTTTTATTTTTCTGACATCTGCCCAAAGGAATGTTTTTTTTCTTAGACCCATCTTTGCAAAGCTTTAGGGTGTTTATTCTGTTATCTTGACATTTTGCATGTTAACTGGAGCAAGAGATGCTTGTTACTGGGGATCCTCTAGATATTTTTTAACACCTGGTCCAAGGTTGTTTTTTTTTTTTTTTTACTTCTTGATGCCTATAGGGATCTCATCCTCCTTAACTTTTCAGTTTTAAAAACAGAAATCTTCAGTTTTATTTAATTTAACTTTATTGTCAGATTTTAGTGCACGAAAAACACAAAAGCCAGAAGACAAGACAACATGATTTTACAAGCTTTTTATTTATTTATTTTTTTTTTGCAAAAAAAGATGTGAAAGATGTGGTTTAAATGTGTATTTACCCCTTTTAATCTGATAACTGATAGTCAGCTGCGGGGCAATTCGGCCTTCATTTAAAGAGTTCTTAGAGAAGCCCTAAGAAGTTCAGGTATGAAAGAGATGCAAAAAAACATTTAAACAAAGAAACTTCTTTGGAGCAAACTGAATTTTGAAAATATGAATTTTTTGGTATTTTCTGTCAAGGAAAATTACCTTGAAACACCATCCCTATAGTAAAATACAGTGGAGGTAGTATCATGCTGTGGGGTGGGACTTTCTTTGACAAACCTTGTTTAAACCAGAGTTTAGCTAAATACAGTGTTTGCCATGATCAGTAGGCATTATTATTTTGGTTTGGTTCAATCAGCCTCTTATTGTTTAGCATGTTCTACATGTTTGGTCATATTCTGTCATTTTTGACATTTTGAGTTTGCTTTATTTGTTCGTTATGCTCGCTTTGCAAGGTGTTTTCTAGTTTATTTTCTTGACCTTAGTAGTTAGTCTTGCCATTGCTTTCTCAGTTATTTCCTCTTTATCATTGGAGAGGTTCTGTTGTTTATTCTTTTATTTGTTTTTCCACCTGTCTTCCCATTTTATCATTGCTACTACAGGCAGAGCATTCAGCTAACTAGTATATTCCATTCACCTGTGTATTCTGATTTTAGACATTGCGTGCACCTGTTCCCCTCATCATTTAAGGCTTCAGTTTATTATTAGTTCTCATCTAGTTTTCTGTTTTATTTCGTGTCTGTATGCTTGTTTTGTTTTAGTAAATTATTAAACTCAACCTGCTGCTTCCTAACAACCATCTGAACTTTGATCCTGAGCACCAGATTAAGACAGTTTTGTGTTGAAAGAAACTGTGAGAGCCTTGAAAGGAGTGGCGAGGATATCCTCCCACTTTAGACATACAGCACATTTATTTGTTAGAATGGCCGGTGGTGGTTCTTGATAAAATTTAAAAGGGGGGCAGGGTGGGGTCAATATTTAGTCATGGGGCACAGAAGAAAAGAATAACAGACACAGACAAGACATGAAAAGATAGAATTTAGTATTTTAAGTGAGCCACAAAGCCTATAGGTCTGTACCAGGAAGCAGGATTACTGGGGTAGCGAGACAACCTCAGCTTTAACTCTGACATTCCTGTACCACAAAGCTGGATTCATTCTTTGTGAGGCTAGTCATCATGGTAACGTTCTCATAAAGACAAACCTGCTCCGGGTGACCATGGATAATACTAAGCTGCAGCTTCAGATATATACCACCCTGAATAATACTGTTTAATCACCATAGGTTTTGTGTTCCAGACACATGAATATCTAAGGGATACTCGCTGCTCTAGATGCTTTTTCTTATGTTTTCTTTGGTTGTCTGTTGTCTTCTTTTTGCTGTTGTTGTGTTCTCTGTTTTCTGTTCCCTTCATCTCATATGTATGTTTTATTTTCTCCTTTTTCATGCACTATTTCCTGCCTCTATCTCTTTCTCTTTCCACTTAGTTCTTTATCCTCTTTCTTTATCAACTCCCTTTTCCGTCTCAGATTTTACTAACTAAATTATTGTCAATACAGTTTTAGGCATATGTATCAAGCGGTACCTTATGGCAACAGCCATAATGGTCTGTTTGTAAAAGCAAAGCTGTTGAGCTATCAACTAGCTGTGGGACATTGATTCCCAGAGCTATAGGAAGAGAGAAATAAGTATATCTGTATTAATATCGGCTCAGGACCTTTGGTCAGGTTGTCCTCTGAGCATGACTGACCTTACCTGAGGGATTGAAAGCAAAGCACTCATGCTCCACGCCACGGCGAGCATGATCTTGTTTCTCATCCGGGCCTTGTTGATTGCCAAAGGGTTGAGGATGGCGGACTGCCTGTCCAGACTGATCACCACGGTGACAAAAGCGCAGGAGTACATCGCCAGCAGCTTCAGAAACATCAGCAGCCTGCACAGGAAGTCTTCAGCAAGCCACTGGACCGTGATGTTCCATGCAGCATCCACAGGCATCACTATGAAGGTCACCAGCAGGTCAGCTACGGTCAGGTTAACAATCAGAACCTTGACGTGGGATTTCCGTTTCCCGTCCCTGTGAGCCGCCCACAGCACAGCCAGGTTGCAGAAGGCTGATGTGCCGCAGAGGATGAAGGTGATGATGACTCTGACTTTGGCTGCTGTGGTGAAGGTGGGAAGCTGAGGGACGTCCTCCCCGGCCGTCCAGTTGGAAGGGGCCAAGGAGGAGTTGCAGGTGACATTAGCTTGGAGGTCATGCATGGTCACTGCAGACTGGAATGGAAAGATATTCATTTTCTGCAGCTTCTGGATGCATTTTGCCAATTTATCAGCTCTGGTAATAAAAAGCAAAAAACGCAAGTGATGATTGCAGAGTAAAAAGTCATGAAGTAGGCACAGATTTCTCACACAAATCTTCTAAGATCCCATAAATAACTATTAATGATGAGACCTGATGAGGAAGTTATATGAAATAAAAGACTATTCATCTGTAGTGAGCTAGAAGAACCAAAGTGGAACACTATGGGATAATCACATTCAGCACATTAGGGACCTAATTAACAACGATCATCAACGCTGACAGTTTTTATATACATTACTTAAGCATTGCTACTAAATGAATGGAAAGATTGTGCAGCCATGCTTATAAAATGGAAGGAACAGAGCATGAATAATAATTCAATGTTATAGTGCTGTAAGTAACTTGAAAGGCAAAAAAAAAATAAATCTATGCTGAGAGATGAAAAAAAGACTGTTACGTAGTTGCATTTAAAAGGGTTCCTGAAAAAGTCATAGAAAACACACATTCAAAAAAGAATCTGCTGGAGCAAAGTCTTAAAAGTGGTGCTACTCTGTTTGCATGTGGAACTTTTCACACTAAATAAATAAATAATTTATTAAATTCTGAAAAAGAAATGATCTGATTAAATTTAGACAGAAAAGATTAATTTTCCTTTATTCATTTGACAAATGCTTAAAAAAAAAAGAAAATTGGACCCCAAACCCTTTTGGTTGAAAAAACTTCAGTGACTAATTATTGTCCCACTCTCAGGGGCGGATTTAGATAATTTGGGGCCCTAGGCAAAAACAGGCAGGGGGCCCTCTGAACTGATAAGAGAACCCTAACCCATTATACAGATACAGAAATTTTAATAGAATAGACATCCAGTATTTATTCGAGTAGCAGAAAAAGTCACCAGGTGCTTTTTTGAAAGAAAAGCGCTATAGGGGTCTGAAAAGTCGCTAAATATAGAGAAAAAGCGCTAAGTTGGCGTCACTGCTCTTCGCATCGTTTGTTTACAAATGGTTTCCTGCTGTCTACTTGGACCTTTCTGAACATGTCCAGCAAATGGACTGATCCTAGGCAATTGCCTGGTATTGCTTATTGGTAAACCCCCCTGCCCACTCTTCACTCTCAGCTATGATATGCTGTACAACCCCTTTCAAGTCACATCCAGCATCTCAAAAGGATAATGGTGAATTGACCGGACTCTGCTGCAACTCCAAACTATGTCACTTCCACCTCTGTGCAACTCATTGCTAGTTTCTTTTCCTGGAGTGCTTTGCTCATTTAAAATGTTTAACTTCTGTACTCTCTTGGTGAAAGTGTTAGTTTTAGATCTACTGCAAATTAATCTGCCTCTAACTTTGTTTATACACTGTGCAGAGATTTGGAGAATTGCTTTTTTCTCAAATTGTGTTTTTTTTTTATGTAATAAACATATTTATATTGATGCATGCATGATTTCTGTTATTTATTGAATGATGCATGCAGCTGGGGAACAAATCGTACTAAGATTGCATGAAGCAAAACAGGCTTGGTTTAAAGGTTCACACTCTTAAGTGTTATTGGTACATTTGTGCACAAAGCATGAAGGGATCATTAGTGACGGCTTCACATACAAATATGTCTTCTTCAGAAGTCGACAAACTATATTATGCATGCCTTATGACAGCATAGCAAGTTTTATAGTCTGAGTATTGCACTTGAATTTTCTATTCCAAAGAGAAATATCAAATGGAGAATTTTACTTACCATTGAAGAAAGCTTTAAAGATCATGATGGTCAATGCCGAACCAAGGGGACTTCTTTCCTTTAAGAACCACTTTGAGGCTTAAAAGCAGGATATCGCTGTGAGCTTCTCTGCTGCAGCGCCTTTATCTGAGTATCCATCCATCATCACAGCTGCTTCACCTCTGGAGGAGTGGTCTGACCAAGCCAACTGACTAACATCCTCTCTCTCTCTCACACACACATTCTCAGGGCTGTATGTTGAGTTTCATTGATTTCTGTTGATTTTTAGTCATTTTCAATCCTTTTAAAGGCACACTATGCAACATTTTTCAGTTAATTAATGTGTTCCATAACGTTTTGGATGATTAAATGAGCCATTTCAGGTTGAACAAAGGTATTCTCGGCCGCCCTGGTGGTCTGTGGGGGAAATACCGCACTTGCAATTGCAGGAGCACCGACCCGCACCCACAGGCTCAGAAGTCTCGCGAGAGTCAGTCTTGCTTTACGGCGAGAACTGCTACACCCCCCAGTTAAAAGCATTCTCGTTGCTAACACAGTGGCGATCTTTGTGCAGTTATGCTACGTTCACGCAGCAAAAGCAGCAAAATCGCGTCTGCTGCTTCATTTTTGCTGCTTGTACCAGTTAGTTCTGACGGTGCAAAAGTGTGTCTGACGCGCGTCGGGCGGAGCTTCACTATCCTTTCTCTGCCTTGCAGCTATATTTGCTGTGATCAGTGGGAATAAAGTAGTTTTAATATGTGTTTAAGTGAGAAAATACACGTGAAAACGTAATCAGTGCAGTCAGTTCATTCAGATTATTATCCTGCCTTCAATATTTTTTCTGTCGGAGCCGCTCAGACCCCCACATACCAGCGGTGCGCCGACAGTAGGAATTCCTTCATCAGCAGCTTCTGGCCAGGTCGCCTCTTCGCGGTTCACCGCGGCAGCTGGTAGGTGTTTTTCATCTAAATAATCCAAACTGCATATTCTGCCGGCAGATTTCTGCATTTTAAGTTAATTTAGGCGTCAATAAACTGTTTAAGAGGAGTGATCATAGCCTCTGATCATCAGCGCTGTGTCTCTCTCCCTGCGTCAGATGATTAAACGCCCTGACGAGATGCTTCAGCTGCTCAGACGCGCTGCGCCTTCTGCTCAAAACCTTTTGCTGCGCCTTGACGCGCGTCAACCATTGACTTTGCATGTAAACTCGCTGCTTCTGTCGCGCCAGCTGCGGTGTGAACGCAGCATTAGTCATTCGTTGCGTTCGCCTGTCTGCTAAGCTCAAAACAACCGCGCCTGGCTTGACGGAGAAACCAGGAGAACAGCTGAGCATATTTACGACAGTGCACTTTTACTTTCGCCCTCTGGGGGGAGCCTCGCTGGAAAATCAAGACCGGTTGCATAGTGTACCTTTAATGCTGATTGTGATAATAATCCTAAACATAACCATTACCAGTGCATACCTGACCCTAACCTGAACCCAAACTCAGTTCACACCATAGTGCTGAAGTGTTAGAAAAAACAAACAGGCAAAAAACTACCAGCAAAATTTTCTCTTTTGGTAAAAACGGTGCTGAATTTCATGGTGAAATGGTAAAAGTTTGACCCTAAGCAGCAGTACACATAAAAAAAAATCTATTTAGTTTATTTCTATAACGCCAGTTCACAATACTTTTCACCTCAAGGCACTTTACAGATACAATAACACCAGATCATGCAGTCAGATTGGTTCAAAAAGCAAACCAATCATGATGAGAATAAGATCAACCAAAAGGAAAACAGGATAAATTTAAGTAAATAAAACAAATAGCTTCGTCATTCCTGGATTCTCATGTTGGGAAACCTGAAGTCTATAAAAACAAAAACCACTGATTCCACCATTTCATTATCTACAGTGGGGCAAAAAAGTATTTAGTCAGCCACCAATAGTGCAAATTCTCCCACTTAAAAAGATGAGAGAGGCCGGTAATTTTCATCATAGATATACCTCAACTATGAGAGACAAAATGAGAAAAAAAAATCCAGAAAATCACATTATCTGATTTTTAAAGAATTTATTTGCAAAATATGGTGGAAAATAAGTATTTGGTCAGTTACAAACAAGCAAGATTCCTGGCTCTCACAGACCTGTAACTTCTTCTGTAAGAGGCTCCTCTGTCCTCCACTCGTTACCTTCATTAATGGCACCTGTTTGAACCCGTTATCAGTATAAAAGACACCTGTCCACAACCTCAAACAGTCACACTCTAAACTCCACCATGGCCAAAACTAGAGAGCTGTCAAAGGACACCCGAAACAAAATTATAGACCTGCACCAGGCTGGGAAGTCTGAATCTGCAAGAGGTAAACAGCTTGGTGTGAAGAAATCAACTGTGGGATCAATTATTAGAAAATGGAAAACATACAAGACCACTGATAATCTTCCTCGATCTGAGGCTCTACGCAAGATCTCACCCCGTGGGGTCAAAATGATCACAAGAACGGTGAGTAAAAATCCCAGAACCACACGGGGGGACCTAGTGAATGACCTGCAGAGAGCTGGGACCAAAGTAACAAAGGCTACCATCAGTAACGCACTACGCCGCCAGGGACTCAAATCCTGCAGTGCCAGACGTGTCCCCCTGCTTAAGCCAGTACATGTCAAGGCCCGTCTCAAGTTTGCTAGAGAGCATTTGGATGATCCAGACGATGACTGGGAGAATATCATATGGTCAGATGAAACCAAAATATAACTTTTTGGTAAAAACTCTACTCGTCGTGTTTGGAGGAGAGAGAATGCTGAGTTGCATCCAAAGAACACCATACCTACAGTGAAGCATGGGGGTGGAAACATCATGCTTTGGGGCTGTTTTTCTGCTAAGGGACCAGGACGACTGATCCGTGTGAAGGAAAGAATGAATGGGGCCATGTATCGTCAAATTTTGAGTGAAAACCTCCTTCCATCAGCAAGGGCATTGAAGATGAAACGTGGCTGGGTCTTTCAGCATGACAATGATCCCAAACACACCGCCCGGGTAACGAAGGAGTGGCTTCGTAAGAAGCATTTCAAGGTCCTGGAGAGCCTAGCCAGTCTCCAGATCTCAACCTCATAGAAAATCTTTGGAGGGAGTTGAAAGTCCGTGTTGCCCAGCGACAGCCCCAGAACATCACTGCTCTAGAGGATATCTGCATGGAGGAATGGGCCAAAATACCAGCAACAGTGTGTGAAAACCTTGTGAAGACTTACAGAAAACGTTTGATCTCTGTCATTGCCAAAAAAAAGGGTATATAGCAAAGTATTGAGATGAACTTTTGTTATTGACCAAATACTTATTTTCCACCACATTTTGCAAATAAATTCTTTAAAAATCAGACAATGTGATTTTCTGGATTTTTTTTTTCTCATTTTGTCTCTCATAGTTGAGGTATATCTATGATGAAAATTACCGGCCTCTCTCATCTTTTTAATAGGGAGAACTTGCACTATTGGTGGCTGACTAAATACTTTTTTGCCCCACTGTATATCCAACAATAAGATGATCATAGTTAAAAAAACAAGACACTTGGCTCAATGATAAAGAACTTTAAAGATGCTCTGAAAAAGTAATTATTTAGTTATTTGTCATAAAACGTTTATTTTATCAAACTACTAGTCAAAAAAAGTAGGATTACAAAGGATAGTTTAAAATCCATCCATCCATAATCTGACACGCTTGTCCCAATTGGGGTCGCAAGGGGTGCTGGTGCCTATCTCCAGCAGTCAATGGGCAAGAGGCAGTGTACACCCTGGACAGGTCGCCAGTCCATCGCAGGGCAACACAGAGACAAACATGACATACAACCCTTCACACACACACACACCTAAGGAAAATCTAGAGACGCCAATTAACCTAACAGTCATGTTTTTGGACTGTGGGAGGAAGCCGGAGTACCCGGAGAGAACCCATGCATGCTCACGGAGAACATGCAACCTCCATGCAGAAAGACCCCGGGCCTGGAATCAAACCCAGAACCTTCTTGCTGCAAGGTAGCAGTGCTACCCACTGCTCCACTGAGCAGCCCAGATTAAATTCCCTTCAATTAAATGGTCATAAGAATTAAAACTGGTTTTGAATGTAGTTTTATTCATGGCCCTATTTTTTCATTCACCCTACTTGTTGTGCTTCAATATTTCACTGCAATAATTTGTCCTACAAAGCAGTTTTCGGTTCCTCACAAACAAGCATCAATGCTTCTTCAATAACTGTGTTTGAAACTTGTAGAGGCAGAATCCCCATCAGTGACTCAACAAAGAGCCAGCACCCAGGATGATACGTCGCGCTTTCCGAGAATGTTCTTTTGTTGCCATCTGATGCTTCCAAACTAACGCTTCCACCCTAATAGGTTAGGCTTGGATTGGTATTCTTGTTTGCATTTTCTATTGTTATCCTTCAAAGTTAATCAAGGGTCATCAAGGCTAAACACTTTGGCTATAGTTTTAACATATTTTACCCTAGGTACCTTGACAATTTTCATGTTCCATTAGAATTGATGGCTTCTTCCTCTCCGATTGGCCTCACAGTCAATGTCAGTGCAGGAGATAATTACACTATTTAATGGCGTCACAGTTATTTCCAAATGCCCCTCGAGCTAAATAAACATACTTGCATATATGTTAAACTACTTCTGCACATGGTTTATATGCCACCGCACAACAAAATCACACATTTTGTTGTGCGAGAAACTGCCACATTTCCACACGCGCTCGGTATCGTGCCTGTGCATGATTTTCTATCCAGGGGCCACGCTTGAGCAGTGCTGCGCTATCGAAAGCATCTCTGCCCTCGGACCGATTTTCTCCCTGCGCCAAACAAAATATGTGTTGACATATTTGGTGGAGACAAACCTCTTCTGTAAGCATTCTCCTGATTGGAGCTTGCAGACACAATCACATGGGAAGTAGTTTCTGGGAGCGTTTGACTGACAACTCGTCATCCATAAGTTAAGTTGATGGCTGGTGGTGCGACAGTGGCGGAGGCTTCTCCAATGTTTGCGTTACGTGGGGTAAGTGGTAACTGTTAGTCAAAGGCTTCAAGACACTACTTCCCGTGGTATCATGTCTGCAAGACCTGCATTTGTGTGTGGATGTTTGAGACTCCCCTGACGTGCCTAGATACACAAATGTATTTTTTTAAGCAGGGGATGGTTTGCCACCAATCACAAAGCT